ACATATTTGACACTTTAACATGCGTGATTACATTGTGCTATGATCATGTCCTTCCTTACCTGTGATATTGACCTCACAACCTCTTGGTTCACGGCATTCCAATCTTCCTCCTACGCCAACATGTCTGTGAAAGTTATCAGTTAATCTGACTATTCTCTCATCATTTATTTGATTGACTTATTTCAGCAATTTTAGGGTTTTCTGTATAGTTGTCTCATGTTGTTTGGGCATATTACTCTGTTTTAATGTTACTCTTTCATCACTATGATAAATACAATAGTGTTTCTTGAGTGTACTTATAACTGAGCTGAGAGTTACTTCAAAGTGCAAAGTGTAGCAATACAGGTAAAATAATTGACACAGACATGGTGGCGTAACAGGAAGCTCTGAATTCTGTGAACCAAGAGGTTGTGAGTTCAAATCCCAGGTGAGGACATGTTGAATAATAATCAATGTAAAAATGAACATGCACAATGCAATCATGTATGTCAAATAAATTGAAAACACTGTCTGTTGAAAGCACTGTTTGTATGTGTGGGTGTCCCTTGCCAACAGACAAAGAGATGTGAGTGGTTCATCAATCAGGGTCTTGATGGACTTGGCAACAGTAACAAAGGGGGATGTGTAATTAAACGTTTCTTTGGGATCATCAGGCAAGGTCCTTAAAGCGTCTTTATGGACATCCCTGGAATAAGCCGGGAACTATAAAAAGAACTCCAGGGGACCATGACAAAATGTCCTATGTTTTAAACGTCCTTGGACACAGGAATGTTCTTGCAACGTTCCAATGAAACATTGAACATTAATATCTTCTCATAATCTGAAAACATGGCAACCATGTTCTGTGTATTTTTGGTGTGACGTTGGTGGAATATTCTCCTAACCCTCAGAAAACTGGACACATGAATGTTCTTGTAATATTCCCATGAAACATGTCTAGAACATTCATATCTTATATTCTGAGAACATGGCAACCATGTGTCTTGTTTTGCACGCCTTGTTCAAAATAGCTAGCCATAACTGGCATGTTCATGTGTCTACGGCCATGATCAACTGCAATGACCTCACGAGCTGGGTGGTCTTAACCAATCATAGCACAGTATGATATGACAGTAGAATGCAACCAATTACAATTTAGTATGTTGACACATACACTATGAATATTACACCATGTTCTGTGTATGTTTGGTGTGATGTTCATGGAATATTCTCCTAACCCTCAGAAAACTGGACACGAATGTTCTTGCAAAGTGTTAGGTTCTGAACAATCAGAGTAAAAACTCACGGACAACTAGAAAAAGCTCACCCACTGGGTCAAACAGCTGCAAAGATAAAGACATTATTACATAAGCACATATATTTATACCCTCCTTCTAGGCGGAGTCAACTCCTTGCAGATCTAGACAGCCAATACATCTCTGTTGCTACTCAGGAATTTAATTGGTTCCTCTCACTTTTGTAGTCATGGTCCTGCCTCATGCTAGAAACTTTGTGGGCATGTAAGTATATGTGTGTGTAATAGGACTGTTCCTTCTCACTTCATCTGACCTGACGGGCCGAATTCCTCACTCCTCCATAATCCACAGCTGTCCTACCTTATCAGTGACTGAAACCAGACTGTTGCACTTTGCCTCCCTCCTTAGGAGCCATAAGGTTGAACAATACCATGTTTTGACAGAATGTAAACGTTCTCCACTTCCTCTTCCTCACTCTGTAACTTTCCATACACCTAGTTCTTATCCACCCTCCATTGACCTCAACATATACATTCCTTATACATGTAATCTGAGTTCTAGTCTGGTAACATGAATAAGCATATTTAAAGCTAGAATCCAACAAAAGGAAACTGGACATGAATGTTCTTGTAACATCCCATGAAACGTGTCTAGAACATTTAATGTCCTATATGTGACTAGTTTCAGGAAACTAGGTGTATGTCGCGCGTCACTACTTCACATGAGAGCCATTTGAAGGTAAACTTTTTTTTAAATCAAAATGTGTTTTTTGGCAGAAATGCCTTCTGGAACATGTGAACTTTCATGTGCCTTAATAACAAACTTGTATGCCCTCTGTAAATACAAATAAAATTATTAAATTACGAGCCTAGTTGGTTTAGCCACAGAAAAAGACAGCAACCTTCCCGTTAGCCATGATTGGCTGAGATAATGAGTGGGCTGGACAAGCCGAGAGATGAGTTTGAATTGGTCTACCATGTGGCACACTTCTGTCTATTTGAGCTAGTCAGTATGTATAGGTAATCCAGTTTTACATGGCTTAAAAATATATATATATAGCGTAGTAGAACTGCATAAGCGTTGCTCTCCACTTTCTGGAGGATGGAATTTTGAAATCAGTGGAATTAGAGTATGATCGCTAAGGAGATGGAGAAAACACCTGCCTCCGGATTACATCTTCAAACTAAGGGCAACCTTGGCATCCGTGACAGAGAGTGAGAAGCGTCCAACCATGTATACGGTTAAGATAGTCTAGCTAGCTACATTTTCCGATATGACACGTTTCTAATTATGTCTGAAAGTAGTTCATTTCAAGTTAAAGTGTACTGTTAGCTAGTTAGCTAACGTTAGCGGGCTGGTTCGCCAGCTAACGTTACGTGTATGTGTAGTAATATTATTTGTATCTCAGCGCCATTTCCTTTGCTAGTTATAGCCTAATGTTAGCTAGCTAACATTGAACCTGGTTGGTTAGCTGCCTGCAGATTCATGCAGGGTAGTAACGTCATGAGTTGGGATTATGGTTCATTGTTTAGCTAGCTAGCTAGCTACATGTCTTAACAAAAGACTCCAATATGCAAGAAACCAATTCAATAGAATGTTAATGATGTCACTGCGAAAACTGTTGATAGCCGTAGCTGGTAAATTCGCTCTGGCTATCTACTCTGATTTCAGAACACTCTCATCTGAGTGTGTAAGAGCACAGAATAACTGACGAATTTACGAACACTCAACACCCGTTGAATATGGCAGGTGTCAGTAATCTTTGGCAAAAAAGCGTAAATTGTTGCCAGCAGCATTGCCGTCACCAACACTCTGGATAACATGAAAACAGCCTAACTACCTCTGCTAGGGCGAGTAAAATGGTTAGTGAGCTGTTCTCTCATTTGTGTCTGTAAGTAGCTAGCAAACTAGCCAACGTTAGCCAGTTAGCTTGGTAATTGACTGCTGTTGTTAGGACAGAACGCTCAGATCAACCTTTAAAGAGATGGGTGGGGCTAAAGCTTAAGAGGGTGTGAGCGATGCTGAATGGGTGTAGACAAAGAAGAGCTCTCCAGTAGTAGTACCAAAACATTCAAAGGCCATTTTCTCAAAAGTGAGGTTACAAGTTTATCAACTTTCAAAGCAGAATTACTTTCCCATTATTCCTCAACTGTAGTGTATGATATACAATTTTCTAGCTCTGAGTCTCTACTTTTATCCAATGTAAAAAACACAATTTCAAATTTTGCGAAAATGGCAACCATTTTCTGTGTATGTTTGGTGTGACGTTGATGGAATATTCTCCTAACCCTAAAAAAACTGGACACGAATGTTCTTGCATTGTCCCATGAAATGTGTCTAGAACATTAATATAGGATATTCTGAGAACATGGTAACAGCGTTCTGGGTAAATTATCCTAACTCTAACGCCAAAACATGCTAAATAAGTTCTCAGAAGGTTTTTACTAAAGTACATAGAATGTTCCCCTTAAGTGATAATGCCCGATAAGCCAGTGTTTGGAGGATATATTGGCAGGGGTGTTGTTAGGCCCAAGACGAAATCGAGGGCTGGCAAACCGTGCCAATATATCCTCCAAACACCAGCTTCGAGGGCATTATCACTTTTATACAACGGGTTACCAACATATTCAATGATTTACATATTTTCATTAAAAACATAATTTTTTATTAATTTGTTCATACTATTTCATCCTTCCACAATATATAGTCCCGACACAAGCCGGCTGGTCGTTCGTTTGTTCTATTGGTTCGGTTGCCAGAGACGCAACCCAGTCGTTCAGTCTTTTTGTTCTGTATCTATGGACGCGACCCAGTCGTTTGTTCTAAATGTTCCATTGCCATACTGGCTGACAACATTCTTATCCCTTGCTTGCTAGCCAACTGCGGCTAAATTACAGTCACGGCAAATGTCAAAAAGAATAACAACAGTAGCTGCATTTGCATTTGTTTAAGCTGTTTTCTAGTGACATTTACTTAAAATGTGCTCTCTCATCAGGACACTGTTGTTCAGAGGAGCTAGCCAACAACACGGCTTCAGAGGAGCTTGCCAACAACACGGCTGACACAAACACAATCACTTCAAACACTGAAGCTGTAAAGACTGCAAACTAGCTGCACTTCGTTTCGTTTCACCTTTTTTCAATTGACATTTCTTTGTATATATCCATAAAAATGATGCCAGCTGATGCATGATTTCGACTGGCTGAGAAACGCTGCCTGTCTCGTCCCGACTTCCGACCCCTACACGTTCATTACTATGGGACAGCTGGAGATCGAATTTGAATATTGAAACAATGTTGCAAATGTCGGAGAGACCGACCGCAAGGTTTATACAAATCTCCGCTGTTGAAAACTAAATGTCAGTCTAAAAGAAATGTGAGATAATGTCTAGATGCTTTTTATAATTTGTCTGGCTGGGCTGATGAGACAGTGGATTGCGCAGTCAGATGGAACAGAGGAAATAGGCATTTTAACGTCATAGATTTTGCCGGTGGTAACTTGTGGAATAGACACTGGCTGGAATGCGCTTTTAACAAATAAACATTCAGGATTAGACCCACCCGTTGTATAATAACTAACGGAAAACTGGACAGGGGAACATTACGGATAACATGACAAAAAATGTCAGTCTTCCTATAATTGTTAGCTGGGATGTTACTTCAAGCTCAAGCAGGTTGTGGTGTTGGTTCTCTCTCTCTTTCTGCCTCTCTCTCTTTCTGTGTTGACTTTACCTGTTTACATGGCATTGTTGGATGAACCTCATAAATGTTTGGGGTGAGACCATTGGACTTTACCTTCATGATACTGTGGAGACGTGGCATGCTCTTTTTCTCACGCTCCTTTTCTCTCTCTTTATCCCTCTCTCTCTCCCCCCTTGCCCTCTCTTGTCAAATCCACCTGGGTACCAAACCTTTCAGCACTCTCTGAAATGAGAGGGGGAAAAACCACTGGTGTGTCCATGCTGGCTTCCTACAAATCAAATTAAACTCCTTAACCTTTCCCTCTGTCTGCCTGCTGTCTGGAGCTAGCAGAGTGTATGGCTAATATATCTGGAAGAGTATCATTCTGACTGTCGACGCGAGTCAGCCAATCACAATGAATCTTCACCCACACAGGCAGAGCTAAAGCTCATGTAAGAGGCTTAAAGCCACGATAAAAGGAACTGATTTGAATGCATTAACCTCAATTAGCAGTTTCCAATTAATTGGGGTTTGTTAAAATAATGATGTATAATTGCCGGATGCATATGCATATTTCATGAGGAGGGAGCATTGTGTTGCTTGTTGAGTGACAACTTCATTGACTGATTTGATTTATCGATTGGGCTGATGGAAAATTCCAAAATCCAGAAACTGTAAATGTGTGCTTATTGTTTGACACAGAAATTCAGAAATTAAATCAGTGAGTTCATTAAGATTCAATGGCTTTGGTGAGGTCATTTGGATTCAATGGTTTTGGTGAGATCATTTGGATTCAATGGTTTTGGCGAGTTAATTTACATTCAGTGGGAGGAAAGTGCTGGAAAACACTGAAGTGTACACCAAATACATATTGTATAACGAGATACAGCTCTCAACTAAGACATGATGCAGTTACACACTTAAACACTGCACACATACAGTACATTCTACACACATGAAATGGCCTCTGCTCCTCAGTTGCTACACATTTGTATTATAGCACTGGTTTGTTGCTTTGACTCATTGCCCCTGTGAACCCCAGGTGGATGCAGATACAGCACTGCTATATGGGGAGCCATGTGTAACGTGCTGTATTTTGTGAACAAGATTCATTCCGTTCTACAGCTGTGGGTGGAGATGTATACCCTGGTGTATTTCACATCCTCACGTGCACACTGTGCCACTGATGCAGACTTTGCACCCATGACTACTCCAGGACTCCCTCCCTTAGGTGGCACATTTCCAAGTCACTAGACTGAGTCGCGGATGAGTGCCGGATAAAGGCGGTAGAATATCAACATACTCAAAGCACGTGGAGCGCAGCCAAAATCAGAAAAAGCTTAAAGGCCCAGTGCAGTCAAGAACTTGATTTTCCTGTGTTGTATATGTATTTCCACATTATGAGGTTGGAATAATACTGTGAAATTGTGAAAATTATGATAATGCCCTTTTAGTGTAAGAGCTGTTTGAAAAGACAGCCTGAAATTTCAGCCTGTTTTGGTGGGATGGAGTTTTGGCCTGCCTGGTGATATCACCAGGCGATAAATTAGTTAATAGACCAATAAGAAAGAGTTCCAAACCTCTCTGCCAATAACAGCTAGTTTTACTCCCCGACAGTCCTAGCAAAATCCTTGCTTGAGAAATTGCTCTTAAGATGTCATTTTAATTGAAAACAATCACAGTAAGGTACTTCATTGTTAAAGACCCAATGCAGACTTTTTAAAAATCTCAATATCAAAAAAATTCTGGGTAACAATTAAATACCTTACTGTAATAGATTTCCATTTAAATGGGCAAAAATAGCTTTTTAGCAAAAAACTATTTTTCAAGCAAGAATTTTGCTAGGACTGTCTTGGAGTGGTCTGAGTGTGGAGGGGACAACTGAAAACTAGCTGTTATTGGAAAAGAGGTTTGGAACTCTTTCTGTTATTGGTCTATTAACCAATTTACCGCATGGTGATGTCACCATGGAAAGCCAAAACTTCCGATCATGCAAACCTGCTGATTAGAAGGTCCTGTGTAGATTGTATTTTCAAACAGAAACTATCAGGAAGTAACACTGATCAAACATTTTCACACTTTCATCAGCAAAATTATATAAAACACAGGAAAAACTGAATTTTTACTGCACTAGGCCTTTAACTGCTACCATGGCGAATATCATTTTTTAAATCATTTAATTTACTCAGATTAATTGCCACAGGTTATGTTGGGTATTGAACATCAACAGACAGTATGGCAAATTAAATGATAGTGTATGCTAATTTGTATTCATATTGTAATCCTGTCAGTTTTACTCTGATTTTACTGCAGGTATATTGTAGCCTACAGACAAGGACTAAACTGTTCTGTCAAGAACTACACTTATAAAACTAAAGAATAGGTAGATCTTTGTGTATTGTATTGACCATATTGAATAAGGCTGTGGTCTTATATGTTCCATCCATTTCTACTAGGGTAGTGAGTTAGAGGTTATAATACAGTTGACTTGGTCAGGGTCACATCATTTCAAAACTGCTGCCGGCCCAAGTTTGTATTTGGCGATGAACTTAGCCTCCCATTCAGAATAAACTGCAGATTCAGCTGTTATTTTATGGGCATATTTAAAAAACCATTGGAGAATGGGAGCTGTCAGAGACGATGCTACACTAGGATAGGCTACACTAGGCTAGCCTATTCAGTATTTAGCCAGCTGCTGTGGGCTTCAACACCATGGATTGAAGACCGAGCCAAGTACTTGCTGGACCCATAGAAAACAACCATTTGTATTCCTCATGAAGTGTTGTTGTTATGGTTTGATACTACAGTAACCAAGTCAATGGCATGCTAAGGTCAGGGATAGCCTCTCCAGACTGTGGGATAAACGCCTGTGTGTCCCTCACTAGTGGGATATTCATAGAATAGAGGAGGGGGGAGGAGGGAAGGGTGAGGGAGGAAGAGTGGGGAGTTTGGAAATCAGAATATCCCCACGCTGCCAAGTTGTCTTACATCCAAGCCTCAGCCTGCATGAAGGGTAATCCTTGGCAAGGCAGCTGAAGGATGTTTGTGTAGCTTGCCACGCTTGGTGCTGTTGTCTCCATTCATGCCTCGCCATGATAGGCTAAGCTTTCTGAGTACACATGGTATTGTCACAAAGTTAACGGTGATGGAGGCATGCTAATTAGCATTAGCAGTTAGCGGCTCTGTTTAGCGTTAACATGAACAGGGGAAACTAGGCAACAGTAAACATGTCATCCCCCATGAAAATTGCACTGATTGGCCCTTGGGACAGGAAATATGCTTGTTCAAAGATTGGAATTTCAGTTGCTTACTATAGCGCCCCCTTGGGCCAATCAGTGCAATTTTGTAAATGCCGGATCGCTATGGCAAGATTGACGCAACATTCCCCCAAGTTTAGTCAAAATCGGGCCAGGGGTGGTGTCTAAGATATTGCGTGTGACTAACGTGCGTACTAACGTACGGATGGAGACAGAAACATAGTCCCCTCTCTGATTTTATCGTGGGGGACAATTAGCATTAGCATGACACAGTAAGCAGGTGTGTTGTGTATACTGTAGTTTTCCATTTGACTCAGTCATTTCTCTTGAGATGGAAAACACACACCTGAATTGGGGAGGTGCAGGCTGACTTGACTTCAGTCCAAGCAGTAAACTTTTCTGCTCCAATGTGAGTAATACATAAAATAAAAAGTATCTTATTTACATAAGTATTCACACCCCTGAGTCAATACTTTGTAGAAGCACCTTGTAGAGTCTTTCTTGGTAAGTCTCTAAGAGCTTTCCACACCTGGATTTTGCCACATTTGCCCATTATTCTTTTCAAAATTCTTCAAGCTCCGTCAAATTGGTTGTTGATCATTGCTATACAGACATTGTCAGGTCTTGCCATAGATTTTCAAGTAGATTTAAGTCAAAACTGTAACTCAGCCACACAGGAACATTCACTGTCTTCTTGGTAAGCAACTCCAGTGTAGATTTGTCCTTATGTTTTAGGTTATTGTCCTACTGAAAGGTGAATTCATCTCACAGTGTCTGGTGGAAAGCAGACTGAACCAGATTTTCCTCTAGGATTTAGCCTGTGCTTAGCTCCATTCCGTTAATTTTTTTATCCTGAAAAACTCCCCAGTCCTTAACGATTACAAGCATACCCATAACAAGATGGAGCCACCGCTATGCTTGAAAATATGGAAAGTGTTACTCAGTAATGTGTTGTATTGGATTTGCCCCAAATATACAGTGAGGGAAAAAAAAATTTGATCCCCTGCTGATTTTGTACGTTTGCCCACTGACAAAGACATGAACAGTCTATCATTTTAATGGTAGGTTTATTTGAACAGTGAGAGACAGAATAACAACAAAAAAATCTAGAAAAATGCATTTTAATGAGAGAAATAAGTATTTGACACCTCTGCAAAACATGACTTCGTACTTGGTGGCAAAACCCTTGTTGGCAATCACAGAGGTCAGACGTTTCTTGTAGTTGGCCACCAGGTTTGCGCACATCTCAGGAGGGATTTTGTCCCACTCCTCTTTGCAGATCTTCTCCAAGTCATTAAGGTTTCGAGGCTGACGTTTGGCAATTCAAACCTTCAGCTCCCTCCATAAATGTTCTATGGGATTAAGGTCTGGAGACTGGCTAGGCCACTCCAGGACCTTAATGTGTTTCTTCTTGAGCCACTCCTTTGTTGCCTTGGCCGTGTGTTTTGGGTCATTGTCATGCTGGAATACCCATCCACGACCCATTTTCAATGCCCTGGCTGAGGGAAAGAGGTTCTCACCCAAGAATTGACGGTGCATGGCCCTGTCCATCGTCCCTTTGATGCAGTGAAGTTGTCCTGTCCCCTTAGCAGAAAAACACCCCCAAAGCATAATGTTTCCACCTTCGTGTTTGACGTGTTCTTGGGGTCATAGGCAGCATTCCTCCTCCTCCAAACACGGCGAGTTGAGTTGATGCCAAAGAGCTCCATTTTGGTCTCATCTGACCACAACACTTTCACCCAGTTCTCCTCTGAATTATTCAGATGTTCATTGGCAAACTTCAGACGGGCATGTATATGTGAACAGGGGGATCTTGCTGGCGCTGCAGGATTTCAGTCCTTCATGGCGTAGTGTGTTACCAATTGTTTTCTTGGTGACTATGGTCCCAGCTGCCTTGAGATCATTGACAAGATCCTCCCGTGTAGTTCTGGGCTGATTCCTCACCATTCTTATGATCATTGCAACTCCACGAGGTGAGATCTTGCATGGAGCCCCAGGCCGAGGGAGATTGACAGTTATTTTGTGTTTCTTCCATTTGCAAATAATCACACCAACTGTTGTCACCTTCTCACCAAGCTGCTTGGCGATGGTCTTGTAGCCCATTCCAGCCTTGTGTAGGTCTACAATCTTGTTCCTGACATCCTTGGAGAGCTCTTTGGTCTTGGCCATGGTGGAGAGTTTGGAATCTGATTGATTGATTGCTTCTGTGGACAGGTGTCTTTTATACAGGTAACAAACTGAGATTAGGAGCACTCCCTTTAAGAGTGTGCTCCTAATCTCAGCTCGTTACCTGTATAAAAGACACCTTGGAGCCTGAAATCTTTCTGATTGAGAGGGGGCTCAAATACTAATTTCCCTCATTAAAATGCAAATCAATTTATAACATTTTTGACATTGACTGGATTTTGTTGTTGTTATTCTGTCTCTCACTGTTCAAATAAACCTACCATTAAAATTATAGACTGATCATTTCTTTGTCAGTGGGCAAACGTACAAAATCAGCAGGGGATCGAATACTTTTTTCCCTCACTGTAACTCTTTGTATTCAGGACAAAAAGTGAATTGCTTTGCCACAGTTTTCGCAGTATTACTTTAGTGCCTTGTTGCAAACAGGATGCATGTTTTGGAATATCTTTATTCTGTACAGGCGTCCTTTTTTTCACTCTGTCAATTAGTTTAGTATTGTGGAGTAACTACAATGTTGTTGATCCAGCCTCAGTTTTTTCCTATCACAGCCATTATACTCTGTCTGTTTTAAAGTCACCATTGGCCTCATGATGAAATCCCTGAGCGGTGTCCTTCATCTTCGGCAACTGAGTTAGGAAGGACGCCTGTATCGTTGTAGTGACTGGGTATATTGATACACCATCAAAAGTGTAATTAATAACTTCATCATTCTCAAAGGGATATTTAATGTCTGCTTTTTTTTTTACCCATCTACCAATAGGAGCCCTTCTTTGCGAGGCATTGGGAACCCTCTCTGGTCTTTGTGGTTGAATCTGTGTTTGAAATTCACTGGTCGACTGAGGGACCTTACAGATAATTGTGTATGTGGGGAACAGAGATGAGGTTAAACACTATTATTGCACACAGAGTGAGTCCATGCAACTTATTATGTGACTTGTTAAGCAAAGTTTTACTCCTGAACTTATTTAGGCTTGCCATAGCAAAAGGTTTGAACACTTATTGACTCAAGACATTTCAGCTTCAAATGTTTTATTTGTAAACATTTTGAAAAACAAAATTCCACTTTTACATTATGGGTATTGTGTGCAGGCCAGTGACCAAAAATCTCAATTAATGCTTTATAAATTCAGGCTGTTACACAACCAAATGTGGAAAAAGTCAAAGTTTGTGAATACTTTATGAAGGTAATGTAATTGTTGTACTTCAGAGCTATCCAAATGAGGGGATTTTTTGCAAAAAGCAGTTGTTGAGTGGACTTTTCTTTCTCTTAGATTTCCTTTTCTCTATTTGTTCTGTAATTTCTTATCTCTGCAGGTCAAAGTGATGGTGCGTATCTGCTCTGCCCGGGGCTTCAGTGACACCTCAGAGTCCAGGTCGTTTCTAAAGGTTGACGCCCGCAAGAAGCAGCTCACCCTCTGCGAAACGTCTGCTAACAGTCACTCCAGTGCAGCCCAGAGGCGCACCGCTGCAGCCGCCCCCAAGATGTTCACTTTCAACACAGTCTTCTCCCAGGATGCCTCACAAGTAAGCCACAGCCACACCCCAAACCCGCCACCCTGTCCTCACCACTGTTCTTCATAGCTGATCCTGGAGACCTACAGGTTGAGCAGGCTTTTGTTCTTCCCCTGCACTAATACAATTTCAACTAATTAACTGATGATTAGTTAATTAGCTGAAACAGGTGGGGGTTGAGGTGGAGGATTCTTTGGAGAACAGGCTGAGCAGTCAGTCCTTTTAAAGTCAAAGTGCTTTGGTTTCCATTCAGGGCCTAGTCGAGCTTTCCAAAAATATGTATCTAATTTCACACAAGAGTTCAGCATGGGTGATGGATACCCAAGATGAGATCAAAGTTGTGGTGTTGGTGGGAAGAAAGGGGGAGAGAAACAGATAAGGGTGATGGGTGAGGATATAACCAGGACCCAGCAGGAGTCCTCGCCCCAGAGTGCAGGAGGAAGAAACAACAAACCTTTTTCCCTGCACCAGTTGTAGCTGCAAAACCACACTAGGCTAAATAAAAAAGGTTAGAGGGTGTCGTGTCAGACAACGTAAGGCCTGATGATCGGTGCCCCTACCCGGCACTGTTCAAAAGGAGAGGAGGCTTTGAAGAGGAAGACATAGGAGCTACTGTAGAGCTTGTATTAGAACAGTGTCAGCAAACCTGCACTCATACACACACACATTCACACTCCCTCACACACACCCGAGGCGTGGTGCTAGAGTTTGAACACTTCATCGTGGAGGCTTCACAGAATAGGAAGCACCTCTCTGGCTCTGCCTGTCTGTAGGGGAGGAAAGGCTGGTATGGGATTAATCAGAGAGAGCGCTGAGGCTGCTCTCTGTTGCTGGAGTGGAAGTTTGATGTTATATGTCACTAATATGCAATGCAGACCTACTCTACATCCTGGATTCAGGCAGAATTATGAGATTGCCAGGCAGATGGCGAGGCAGGCAGCATAACCTAGGCCCTATACCTGCAGTGTTCTGCTACTGTGGACAGGTCATTCAACGTGTAGAAATACACAGATCCATGAACTCTCTCCTTAGTGCTTTAGGTCTTTGAAATGTTAGTGTTTGATATGCATTCAAAGGGTTGTTGATGGTCACTCCCTATTTGTCTGACATGGTCTGTGCTTTTTTGCCATCAGCTTAGTTGTATTTGTCTCTTTGCTGTTGCGATGTACTGTCCTTGTGCTGTGATTCCAAATGGTCTGTTTACCCACCAACAATGGTCTGTACCCACAAAATATGGTCTGTACCCACAGGCTGTGTACAAATTTGGTGAAATACACATTGATTGAGGTGTGCTCTGTTCTAATTATGTTGTCTGAAGTTTGATGTCCTCTCTCCTGATAGGCTGAGGTATGCTCGGGGACGGTGGCGGAGGTCATCCAATCGGTGGTGAATGGTGCAGATGGCTGCGTCTTCTGCTTCGGCCATGCCAACCTCGGTATGACAACACTCTCACACTCTACACACACACACCCCATACCCACAAACCTCTGCCCTTAATTTCCTGTTTTCACACCTCAAGAAAGAAACAAACTAGGATTACCAATTTAACAGAGGTCCTTTTTTAATTGACTGAACCATTGTGTGTCCCCACCCCCATTCCCATTAGAAAACCACTTCACTGAATTAATTTCCTCGTGGGAGTCCCAATGATTGCATACAATAAAGGAGAGATGGAAAATCCCCCTTTGTTTTGTCTGCCTCATTTAAAAGCCCTCTTTGAGTTTGTGTGGAGGGCTTTGAATGAAAGAAGTCAGCGGCCACTTATAATGTTGTAGGGGGCCTGTTTGTGTGTCTGCGTGTTGCTGTGCGCATGATGTGTGTATCTGTGTGTGTATCTGTGCGTATATCTGTGCGTGTGCACATGTTTCTTTGAGGGTGAAAAAGAGAGACAGAGGGAGCTTTTCGCCGAATGCGAAGTGCCCTTGTTTTCCATCTGTTTGTTAGATATTCACTCCTTTTGTCTACTCCTTTGTTTCACCTCCAGCTGTGTAGGCGTCTGCCCCCCGGTGAGCCCTTCAAATATCCCCCTTTGTTGTTTGTTTATCATAACTTCTACTTCTACCATTACTTATTTTATTGGTTGGCTATTACTGCTATAAATATTTGTATCCACCCACAGACATACAACTCACTTAACACATTTGATATGAAGGCAACATTTTGTCAGCGCTATCGTTTATCTGCTTGAACACCACACAAGCAATGCCAACTCGTACACCGGTTTTTGATGTCTTGAGCTAGCTAATTCCTTTTCAGAATGAATGCATAACTGTTAGCAACTAGGCCTAGGAAATTCCAGGGACCTCATGATATGATGTTATCACGATACCTAGGTGCTGATACGATATATATTGTGATTCTCACGATTCTACAGTGGCTTGCGAAAGTATTCACCCCCCTTTGCATTTTTCCTATTTTGTTGCCTTACAACCTGGAATTAAAATTGATTTTTTGGGGGGTTTGTATCATTTGATTTACACAACATGCCTACCACTTTGAAGATGCAAAATATTTTTTCTTGTGAAACAAACAACAAATAAGACAAAAAAAGCAAAAAACTTGAGCGTGCATAACCATTCATCCCCCCAAAGTCAATACTTTGAAGAGCCACCTTTTGCAGCAATTACAGCTGCAAGTCTCTTGGGGTATGTCTCTATAAGCTTGGCACATCTAGCCACTGGGATTTTCCCCCATTCTTCAAGGCAAAACTGCTCCAGCTCCTTAAGGTTGGATGGGTTCTGCTGGTGAACAGCAATTTTTAAGTCATACCACAGATTCTCAAATGGATTGAGGTCTGGGCTTTGACTACGCCATTCCAAGACATTTAAATGTTTCCCCTTAAACCACTCAAGTGTTGCTTTAGCAGTATGCTTAGGGTCATTGTCCTGCTGGAAGGTGAACCTCCGTCCCAGTCTCAAGTCTCTGGAAGACTGAAACAGGTTTCCCTCAAGAATTTCCCTGTATTTAGTGCCATCCATCATTCCTTCAATTCTGACAAGTTTCCCAGTCCCTGCCAATTAAAATAATCCCCACAGCATGATGCTGCCACCACCATGCTTCACTGTGGGGATGGTGTTCTCGAGATGATGAGAGGTGTTGGGTTTGCGCCAGACATAGCGTTTTCCTTGATGGCCAAAAAGCTCAATTTTAGTCTCATCTGACCAGAGTACCTTCTTCCATATGTTTGGGGAGTCTCCCATATGGCTTTTGGCGAACACCAAATGTGTTTGCTTATTTTTTCTTTAAGCAATGGCTTTTTTCTGGCCACTCTTCTGTAAAGCCCAGCTCTGTGGAGTGTACGGCTTAAAGTGGTCCTATGGACAGATACTCCAATCTCTGCTGTGGAGCTTTGCAGCTCCTTCAGGGTTATCTTTGGTCTCTTTGTTTCCTTTCTGATTAATGCCCTCCTTGCCTGGTCCATGAGTTTTGGTGGGCGGCCCTCTCTTGGCAGGTTTGTTGTGGTGCCATATTCTTTCCATTTTTGAATAATGATTTTAATGGTGCTCCGTGGGATGTTCAAAGTTTCAGATATTTTTTTATAACCCAACCCTGATCTGTACTTTTCCACAACTTTGTCGCTGACCTGTTTGGAGAGCTCCTTGGTCGTCATGGTGTCGCTTGCTTGGTGGTGCCCCTTGCTTAGTGGTGTTGCAGACTCTGGGGCATTTCAGAACAGGTGTATATATACTGAGATCATGTGACAGATCATGTGGACTTTATTTAACTAATTATGTGTCTTCTGAAGGTAATTGGTTGCACCCAATCTTATTTAGGGGCTTCATAGCAAAGGGGGTGAATACATATGCACGCACCACTTTCCATTATTTTTTTCATTTCACTTCACCAATTTGGACTATTTTGTGAATGTCCATTACATGAAATCCAAATAAAAATCCATTTAAATTACAGGTTGTAATGCAACAAACTAGGAAAAACGCCAAGGGGGATGAATATTTTTGCAAGGCACTGTATATGGATCACAATTCGATACTGTGATTTTATTGAGATTCGATGTTCCAAACATATTGCTCACCATGTCTGCTGCAGAGGGACGAGAGAGAGCCATGATTGATTTATTTATTGATCAGTCATGGAAATAAAAGTGCTGAAAACAAATTGGCTCCCTATTTAAAAAGAAGATGGAGTACAAGCTATGAAGGAAAAATACTGGAGTTTTGGTGCAGGTACAGCCACTAGTGCAAGAATTATATTGCGATATTGTCAAAATGATACATCATAAAAAATGATATCCCAATATGTAACTATAGATTTTTTCCCCCATCAGTATAAGCTACCTTTATTGTCTGTTTTTGAGGGTAGACTTATAATACTACACAGCCGGTTTCCCGGATACAGATGAAGTCTAGTCCAGGACTAGTCCAGAAGTGCTTTCAATGGATAATCTCAATTTAAAGGGACACTTCAGGATTTTGGCAATGAAGCCCTTTATCTGCTTCCCCAGAGTCAGATGAACTCATGGATAACATTTGTATGTCTCTGAATCCAGTATGAAGGAAGTTAGAGGTAGTTTTTCGATCCAATGCTAACTAGCATTAGCACAATTAATGGAAGTATATGGTATCTACTAGCATGCTAGCAGTTACCATAGACTTCCAGTCATTGTGCTAACGCTAGTTAGCAATGTCCTTCAAACTGCACATAAAGACATAAAAATGGTATCCACGATTCATCTGACTCTGGGGAAGTAGATAAAGGGCTTTATTGCCAAAATCCTGAAGTATCCCTTTAACATGCCTTTTACTCCAGAACTAGGCTGTAAGCTGTGTCCGGGAATCCCGCTCACCAGTATAACAAACCCACCATGATTGGTCAGGACTGCTCCACCAAATGACCTCTGATCTCTCCTCCATAGGTAAAACATACACCATGATTGGTCGGGACTGCTCCACACAGAGCCTGGGCGTGGCTCCCTGCGCCATCTCCTGGCTCTTCAAACTCATCGAGGAGCGCAGGGAGAAGGCTGGGGCACGCTTCTCGGTCCGTGTGTCGGCTGTGGAGATTTCTGGCCTGGATGAGGCGCTGACCGACTTGCTGTCCGATGTGTCCACTGGCAGCCTGCAGGATGGCCAGTCCCCAGCGGTGTATCTGCGCGAAGACCCCATCTGCGGATCACAGGTATGGAGTTGATTGGCTAGTGGAGGTGTGGTTGTGTGTGTGTGTGTGTGTGTGGGGGGGTAGTTCTTAGAGAGAATGCATTTCAATATATTTTGACTACCAAGCATAGGCTATGTTCAGCTGTATTCTGACTTGAGATCTGCATGTTTAATAACTGGAATGTTCAGTTAGTCTCCCATTGACATCAATGAACCATTTACGTGATTGTCCATGTTGTTTGTGCTTTTATCAACTATGAATCGGGCTGTCAGTGAATACTTAAAAAAAACTAAGTAAATTCTTTAGCTACCTGGGCTCTTGTGATGCTCCCGCCTCCCTCTGATCTCCGAAGACGACCTCTGACCTCCGAAGACGACCTCTCTCCCTCTCTGGACCCTCTGTCTCTCACCTCTCCTAACCTCCCTCCCTCAGTGCACATATCTGACCTCCTGATCACCCAGGAGACTCCCTCCGCCAGGCCAGAAATGTGCGCAGTTCGCCCAATTAGCTAGACCCTTCTAATGCAGTCTCTTTTCATCTCTCTCTTTTCACTGACTCCCCCTCTCTTTCTTTCTGTATGTCTGTCTGTGTTTATTTCCCTATCCATCTCCCATTTTCTTTCTCTCACCTATCTGTAGCTCCCTCCCGTTTTCATTCTTGTTCATTCTGTGTGTGTGTGGGAGTCTGTCTCGTTATTCATCTCCCAATTTCTCTTTCTACCTGTCTTTACCTTTCTATCACCTCTATCTGTACCCCCATATATCTCTTTCTCTCTCTCTCTGTCTCTCTCTCAATTCAATTCAAAGGGCTGTATTGGCATGAAAAGCTTTTGCAACAGCAGGAACAATAGGAGGTACAGTAGTAGTCTGAGTAGTATTAGTATGAGTAGTCTCTCTCTCTCTCTCATTCAGTCTCCCCTCACTTTTCATCTCTCTCTCTTCCCTTCTCAGCTCCAGAACCAGATTGAGTTGCATGCGGCCACTGCAGAGCGGGCAGCCTACTTTCTGGATGCAGCCCTGGCGGCCCGAAGCACCAGCCACCCTCACTGCGACAAGGATGTGAGGAGGAACTCTCACATGCTCTTCACCCTCCACGTCTACCAGTACAGCATGGAAAAGAGTGCCAAAGGAGGAAGTGAGTAGGACGCCTGTGTCAGTAGCTGTGTCTTAGGGGAGGAGGTGGGGAGGGTTGGGGTGGTGTGTGCGCTAAGCAGACCTGGGTCAAATAGGTATTTGTTGTCTTTCAAATACTTGGCTTATACCAGTGGAATGTATTCATGGATGCCAAGGGAAGCACCCACCCCAAAATTGACAAAAAATTAAATAAAATAATTTAATCTCTCTCTCTGTGTTTTCATAATTTTTCTTCAATTCACAAGAGGATGAATATGTCTACCTGGAGAAAGTGTCAGAGTGAGTGAAACAGCGCCCCTCCATCTCTGTATGTGTAGGCCATCAATCTGACACTGTCTGGTCATAAAGAGTATGGCATTGTTGCCGCCTGTAGCATTGAATGAAAGGGAAGCCAGTGAGCATTTGCCCTCCCTTGATAAAAATAAAATAAAAAATAATAGGCAATCATCATTGAGCGCAACTGTGAATGGTCCTGGTGCACCAAAAAAAAGTGTCAAGGGAAGCCAGTTTGGATTTGGCTTCACTCCTATCACAGCGCATCAAGAGAAATACATCATTGACAGAAACAATTTGAATTGTTGCATCTCGTTGTGTTGTTGTCCTCCGGTGGCTAGCTAGCTAGCTAAAATTAGGCATGGATCGAGATAGGTATTTGGACTTGTGGTTTTACTTAATTAGCCGTACTGGCCAATGATTATAACGACGATTCTGATCCAACCATAAATTCATACATTGTGCCACTGGACTGAGAGGCTATAAGTTCAATATGTAGCTAGATGTAGAAGGCTAATGTTAACTAGCTAACGTTGCCAATGAAAGGAAGTTAGGCTAGTGAGCAAGCATTTTAGCCAGGTAGCCTAGGACAACAAAAATTAAATGCGTATACTGTATGATAGTCATAGACCGTTTCGTCAACATGAGTGAGAGGAGGATGGCATTGGCGTTTCTCTACAATAGGGTGAGTCAACATGTTTTTTTCTACTTGCACGAACACACGCACGCAAAAACACACACACACACACACACATATCAGAACCATGAACAGCCACATCATATTTAGCTTACGTTGATTGGACTGAATTGTTGTTGGTATATTTTAGTGGTCACTGTATTAGACTAAGCATAGGTGATTTGATTATGTTGAAGTTGAAATGGTGCTGGAATAGTGGAGGCAACTCTCCGTGATTCTAAATCAATAGTTGTTTAGTAGTCCGAAAAGGTTGGAACCATTAACTTGCTTGACCATGCTGAAGGTCATGTACAGTGCATTCGGAAAGTATTCAGACCCCTTCACTTTTTTCACACTTGTGACTTGTTTCAGGAAACTAGGCGTATGTCACGTGTCACTCCTTCACAGGAGAGCCATTTGAACTTGCCTTCTGGAACATGTGAACTTTCATGTGCCTTAATAACAAACTTGTATGCCATCTATAAATATGAATAAAAGTGTTAAATTACGAGCCTAGTTGGTTTAGCCACAGAAAAAGACAGCAACCTTCCCGCTAGCCATGATTGGCTGAGATAATGAGTGGGCTGGACATGCTGAGAGATGAGTTTGGATTGGTCTGCCATGTAGCACACTTCTGTCTATTTGAGCTGGTCAGTATGTGTAGGTAATCCTGTCTAACACTGCTTTTAAAAATATATATCTCGTAGTAGAACTGCATAAGTGTTGCTCTCCACTTTCTGGAGAACCGAGTTTTGAAATCAGTGGACTTAGAGTATGATAGCTAAGGAGATGGAGAAAACACCTGTCTCCGGATTACATCTTCAAACTAAGGGCAACCATGGCATCCGTGAGAGAGGGAGAAGCGTCCATCCATGTATACGGGTAATATAGTCTAGCTTGCTTCATTTTCAGATATTACACATTTCTAATTTTGTCAGAAAGTCATTTTCATTTCAAGTTAAAGTGTACTGTTAGCTAGCTAGCTAAAGTTAGCTGGCTGGCTCGCTAGCTAACGTTACGCGTATGATCTGTGTATTAATATTATTCGTATCTCAGAGCCATTTGTAGCCTAATGTTAGCTAGCTAACATTGAACCTGGTTGGTTAGCTACCTGCAGATTCACGCAGGGTAGTAACGTCATGAGTTGGAATTATGGTTCATTGTTTAGCTAGCTGGCTACATGTCTTAACAAAAGACTCCACTATGCAAGTAACCATTTCAATAGAATTTTAATGATGTCACTGTGACAACTGTTGATAGACGTAGCTGGTAAATCTGCTCTGGCTATCTACTCTGATTTCAGAGCACTCTCGTCTGAGTGTGCCAGAGAGCAGAATAACTGACACATTTACGAACGCTCAACACCCATTGAATATGGCCGGTGTCAGTAAACGTTGGCAAAAAGCGTAAATTGTTGCCAGCAGCACAATTGCAGTCACCAACGCTCTGGATAACATATAAACAGCCTAACCAGCTCTGCTAGGGCGAGTAAAATGGTCAGACTGAGCTGTTCTCTCATTTGTGTCTGGAAGTAGCTAGCAAGCTAGCCAACGATAGCCAGTTAGCTTGGGTGCTTGACTGCTGTTGTTAGGACATAATGCTCGGATCAACCCTTAAAGAGATTGGTGGGGCTAAAGCCTAAGAAGGTGTGAACGATTCTGAATCGGTGTAGACAAAGAAGAGGTCTCCAGTAGGTGAACCAAAACATTCAAAAGCAATTTTCTCAAAAGTGAGGTTAAAAGTTTATCAACTTTCAAAGCAGAATTACTTTCCCTTTTTTCCTCAACTTTTTACCAATTAAAAAAAACACAATTTCAAATGTTGCTACATAAGACCGAATTGAGCCGATCGGTCACATTTTGTTACGTTACAGCTGTCATGACTCTCCCTGGGTGAGGATCAAAGGCCTCACATCAGCTTGGCAAATGGCCGACAACAACCAGACCCTCTTACCCACAGGGGGGATGTGCCGGTCTTGACACCTTAATACTGCCATAAATTAGAGAGGAGGATAATCTATCTCTGGCATTCTAGTAGACTTTTTGCCACCCAAAAACTTCAACATCCAACAATGAACATTGGGACAATATATTTCAACATCCAAACTTTGGGAATGATGAGAAATGGTATATGGAAAATATATGCATATTTTGTGATGTCATTAAAAAAATGGTATAAAGGCGTTATAACGAAAACATTGTGACTTGAAGCGCTTTTACACTGTGTATATCAGGATTACATCCTTTACCTTGTGTAGAAAATATCAAGGAGGAAGACAATGTTTTCGTGAAGATAGAAAGCTAAAAGCACAATCCTAACAAAATCATAGTGATGATAATACTTTTGCCTCATAACTAGCCACGCCCGAGGGAGCTCAGAGAGTGTGTCAGTATGAAGGAAATGCCCCTCTTTACCAGAGTGCATAAAAGATTGAGATAAGAATTATCAGATCAAACTAGACGGACCTCAAGCTGCAGCTTTTGTCCATATTGGTCCCGACCCTGAAAATCAACACGAGGTGAAGACGAAAAAGTTGCCTCCACTAACAATGAATGTTACGGCTGAGTAGCTGTTCTAAGTACTGTATCTCAGAAGGTGAATTTAAGTGGGACCATCCTGTTACTCTCTTCAAAACATCGTCACCTACACTGCTCTCATCACCCCACAGGGGATCATTGACATGGCTGATTAGCCGTCCTCAGAAGACCACTTCCAGTATGAGTGAAAGTAAACAGACAACTAAGAAGAAGGACATTGTGAACTCTTGTGGACAATTTCAGCCTTACATCTAAAAGGCCATCCGAAAGAGAAGGCCCAATCGACCCTTTCCCACGAAGGCCTGGGTCCAACAGAGATACACGACGAAGACCCCCAACACGTAAATACATGCATTGCTTTTCTTCCCAAACGGGGAGCAGTTCCAGGCAAAATATTAGGATTAATATTAGGTCCATGTGTATCCAAGTTTTTTTTCTCTCTCTCTCTCTCTTTAACTCGCCATCTTTTGTAACAAGTGTCATATTGTGTTAGTCCGCTAGGGAACCATTTTCATTGTATTAAGTTTACCGTTTACATGTTTGTATCTTGTGTTATCATTTTTAATTAGTTAGTAAATAAATAATTAAATACATTTGTGTGGTACGGAATGATCAGTAAGTCTACAACTTTCAGAATGAGATATGAGGTAAATTATTAATAAATGACTGTTAAATGATAAGAGATATCTAGATATCTTTAGAGTTAATTCAGGAAACGGTAACTCGTTAAACAACTTTTCCCATGGTGCCCCAAATTCCTACTGAGTTACATTATTAATTTAATCTAGTAACAATTAAACATACATTGGCTTGTGAAAGTATTCAACCCCCTTGGCATTTTTCCTGTTTTATTGCCTTACAACCAGGAAATAAAATGGATTTTTTGGATCATTTCATTTACACAACATGCCTACCACTTTGAAGATACACAATATTTTTGGGGGAAATAAGACAATTAAACAGAAAACTTGAGCATGCATAACTATTCACCCCTCCAAAGTCAATACTTTGTAGAGCCACCTTTTGCAGCAATTACAGCTGCACGTCTCTTGGGGTATGTCTCCATAAGCTTGGCACATCTAGCCACTGGGATTTTTGCCCATTCTTCAAGGCAAAACTGCTCCAGCTCCTTCAAGTTGGATGGGGTTCCGCTGGTGTAAAGCAATCTTTAAGTCATACCACAGATTCTCAATTGGATTGAGGTCTGGGCTTTGACTAGGCCATTCCAAGACATGTAAATGTTTCCCCTTAAACCACTTGAGTGTTGCTTTAGCATAATGCTTAGGGTCATTGTCCTGCTGGAAGGTGAACCTCCATCCCAGTCTCAAATCTCTGGAAGACTGAAACAGGTTTCCCTCAAGAATTTCCCTGTATTTAGCACCATCCATCACTCCTTCAATTCTGACCAGTTTCCCAGTCCCTGCCGATGAAAAACATCCCCACAGCATGATGCTGCCACCACCATGCTTCACTGTGGGGATGGTGTTCTCGGGGTGATGAGAGTTGTTGGGTTTGCGCCAGACATAGCGTTTTCCTTGATGGCCAAAAATCTAAATTTTAGTCTCATCTGACACCATACCTTCTTTAATATGTTTGGGGAGTCTCCCACATGCCTTTTGGCGAACACCAAACATGTTTGCTTATTTTTTTCTTTAAGCAATGGCTTTTTTCTGACCACTCTTCCGTAAATCCCAGCTCTGTGGAGGGTACGGCTTAAAGTGGTCCTATGGACAGATACTCCAATCTCCGCTGTTGAGTTTTGCATATCCTTCAGGGTTATCTTTGGTCTCTTTGTTGCCTCTCTGATTAATGCCCTCCTTGCCTGGTCCGTGAGTTTTGGTGGGCAGCCCTCTCTTGGCAGGTTTGTTGTGGTGCCATATTCTTTCAATTTTTTAATAATGGATTTAATGGTGCTCCGTGGGATGTTCAAAGTTTCTGATATTTTTAATAACCTGTTTGGAGCGCTCCTTGGTCTTCATGGTGCCCGCTTGCTTTGTGGTGCCCCTTGCTTAGTGGTGTTGCAGACTCTGGGGCATTTCAGAACAGGTGTATATATACTGAGATCATGTGACAGATCATGTGACACTTAGATTGCAAACAGGTGGACTTTATTTAACTAATTATGTGTCTTCTGAAGGTAATTGGTTGCACCAGCTCTTATTTAGGGGCTTCATAGCAAAGGTGGTGAATACATATGCACGCGCCACTTTTTCGTTATTTTTTAAATTTCTCTTCACCAATTTGGACTATTTTGTGAATGTCCATTACATGAAATCCAAAATAAAAATCCATTTAAATTACAGGTTGTAATGCAACAAAATAGGAAAAACGACAAGTGGGAGGAATACTTCTGCAAGGCACGTTAGTAGGTAATTATTTGATAAATAATAGTCATCACAATAATGAAAGTCACGTCACGACACAGCTTTATTATAAAATTGATGAAATTGTTATTTTTCCCCTCATCAATCTACACACAATACCCAATAATGACAAAGCAAAACAGTTGTTTTTTTAGAAATGTTGCAAATGTACACTACTGGTCAAAAATTTTAGAACACCTACTCATTCAAGGGTTTTTCTTTATTTTAAAGATGTTCTACATTGTAGAATAATAGTGAAGACATCTAAACTATGAAATAACACATATGGTATCATGTAGTAACCAAAAAGGTGTTAAACAAATCAAAACATATTTTATATTTGAGATCTTCAAATAGCCACCCTTTGCCTTGATGACAGCTTTGCACACTCTTGGCATTATCTCAACCAGCTTCAATAGGTAGTCACCTGGAATGCATTTCAATTACCAGGTGTGCCTTCATAAAAGTTAATTTGTGGAATTTCTTTCCTTCTTAATGTGTTTGAGCCAATCAGTTGTGTTCTGACAAGGTAGGGGGGATATACAGAAGAAGCCATATTTGGTAAAAGACCAAGTCCATATTATGGCAAGAACAGCTCACATAAGCAAAGAAATACAACAGTCCCCATCATTACTTTAAGACATGAAGGTCAATCAATACGGAAAATTAAGAACTTAAAGTTTATTCAAGTGCAGTCGCAAAAACCATCAAGGTCTATGATGAAACTGGCTCTCATGAGGACTGCCACAGGAATGGAAGACCCAGAGTTACCTCTGCTGCAGAGGATAAGTTCATTAGAGTTACCAGCCTCAGAAATTGCAGCTCAAATAAATGCTTCACATAGTTCATGAAACAGACACATCTCAACATCAACTGTTCAGAGGAGACTTTGTGAATCAGGCCTTCATGGTCGAATTGCTGCAAATAAACAACTACCAAAGGACACCAAGAAGAAGAAGAGACTTGCTTGGGCCAAGAAACATGAGCAATGGAATTTAGACCGGTGGAAATTTGTCCTTTGGTCTAGTGTCCAAATTTGAGATTTTTGGTTCCAACCTCCGTGTCTTTGTGAGACACGGTGTGGTTGAACGGATGATCTCTGCATGTGTATTTCCCACCGTAAAGCATGGAGCAGGAGGTGCTATGGTGTGGGGGTGCTTTGCTGGTGACACTCTCTGTCATTTATTTAGAATTCAAGACACAATTAACCAGCATGGCTACCACAACGTTATGCAGCAATACGCCATCCCGTCTGGTTTTGGCTTTGTGGGACTATCATTTGTTTTTCAACAGGACAATGACCCAACACACCTCCAAGCTGTGTAAGGGCTATTTTACCAAGAAGGAGAGTGATGGAGTGCTGCATCAGATGACCTGGCCTCCAAAATCCCCCGACCTCAACCCAATTGAGATGGTTTGGGATGAGTTGGACAGCAGAGTGAAGGAAAAGCAGCCAAGCATATGTGGGAACTCCTTCAAGACTGTTGGAAAAGCATTCCAGATGAAGCTGGTTGAGAGAATGCCAAGAGTGTGCAAAGCTGTCCTCAAGGCAAAGGGTGGCTATTTGAAGAATCTCAAATATAAAATATATTTTGCTTTGTTTAACATTGTTTTGGTACTACATGATTCCATGTGTTTCAGTTCATAGTTTTGATGTCTTCATTATTATTCTTCAATGTAGAAAATAGTACAAATAAAGAAAAACCCTTGAATGAGTAAGTGTTCTAAAACTTTTGAGACTATTACATTTTACATTTTAGTCATTTAGCTGATGCTCTTATCCAGAGCGACTAACAGTTAGTGAGTGCATAAATGTTTTATACTGGCCCCCCGTGGGAATCGAACCCACTACCCTGGTGTTGCAAGCGCCATGCTCTACCAACTGAGCTACACAGGGCCTGTAATGCAAGATACGTAAACATTTACTCAGTACTTTGTTGAAGCACCTTTGGCAGTGATTATAGCCTTGAGTCTTCTTGAGTATGACGCCTGAAGCTTGGCACACCTGTATTTGGGGATATTCTCCCATTCTTCTCTGCAGATCCTCTCAAGCTCTGTCAGGTTGGATGGGGAGAGACACTGCACAGCTATTTTCAGGTCTCTCCAGAGATGTTAGATCGGGATCAAGTCCGGGCTCTGGCTGGGTCACTCAAGGACATTCAGAGACTTGTTCCGAAGCCACTCCTACGTTGTCTCGGCTGTGTGCTTAGGGTCGTTGTCCTGTTGGAAGGTGAACCGTCGCCCCAGTCTGAGGTTCTGAGTACTCTGGAGCAGGCTTTCATCAAGGATCTCTTTTTACTTTGCTCCATTCAGCTTTCCCTCGATCCTGACTAGTCTCCCAGTCCCTGCCGCTGAAAAACATCCCCACAGCATGATGCTGCCGTAGGGATGGTGCCAGGTTTCCTCCAGACTTGACGCTTGGTATTCAGGCCAAAGAGTTCAATCTTGGTTTCATCAGACCACAGAATCTTGTTTCTCATGGTCTGAGAGTCCTTTAGGCGCCTTTTGGCAAACTCCAAGCAGGCTGCCATGTGTCTTTTACTGAGGAGTGGCTTCCGTATGGCCACTCTACCATAAATGCCTGATTGGTGGAGTGCTGTAGAGATTTTTGATCTTCTAGAAGGTTCTCCCATCTCCACAGAGGAACTCTGGAGCTCAGTCAGAGTGACCATTGGGTTCTTGGTCACCTCCCTGACCAAGGCCCTTCTCCCCCGATTGATCAGTTTGGCCGGGCGGCTAGCTCTAGAAAGAGTCTTGGTGGTTCCACATTTCTACCAGTTAAGAGTGATGGAGGCCACTGTGTTCTTGGGGACCTTCAATGCTGCATAAATGTTTTGGTACCCTTCCCCAGATCTGTGCCTCAACACAATCCTGTCGCGGAGCTCTACGGACAATTCCTTCGACCTCATGGCTTGGTTTTTGCTCTGACATGCACTGTCAACTTTGGGACCCTATATTGACATACTTGTGCCTTTCCAAATCATGTCCAATCAATTGAATTTACCACAGGTGTACTCCAATCAAGTTGTAGAAACATCTCAAGGATGATCAATGGAAATACGATGCACCTGAGCTCAATTTCGAGTCTCATAGCAAAGGGTCTGAATACTTATGTAAATAAGGTATTTCTGTTTTTTCTAAAAACCTATTTTCGCTTTATCATTTTGTGGTATTGTGTGTAGATTGATGAAGAAAACATTTCATTTAATCAATTTTAGAATAAGGCTGTATCGTAACAAAATGTGGGAAAAGTAAAGGGGTCTGAGAGCATGGCGTTTGCAACGCCAGGGTTGTGGGTTCGATTCCCATGGGGGGGCCAGTATGAAAAAAAATATATATATATATATGTAAAAATTTATGCACGCACTAACTGTAAGTCGCTCTGGATAAGAGCGTCTGCTAAATGACTAAAATGTAAATGTAAATATCTGAATACTTTCCGAATGCACTCTAACTGTTTGTTACACTCAATATGTTTTGTAGACTTCACCGGACAGAGGTTGGTCTCTGGTTCTTATTGTCTCGGCCTTAGACCTATATATCACGGTTGCAAGGCATATGAACTAACAGGTTATAGAGCAAACAACGTAATCATCACAACACATGACTTGGCTTCCCCAGTGATTTTACCCACACCCACTACTGGTTTATACTGCTTTGTTTAGCTTGCTTGGCACTATATAACCAATGGAATAGCCCAGAAAGTGCAAACTCCGCCAACACTCTGCAAGCAAATCTTTTATCTAGATATTTAATTTGACATTCCAATCTCAATCTACGCCAGAGCCGCCACCGAGGCTGAATGCCCACCCGGACCCTCCCCTAATGAGTCAGGTTGGTGCGGCCGGAGTACGTACCCCTGGGGGGTGGGGGGGGGGGGGGTACTGTCACGCCCTGGCCTTGAGAGCCCAGTTTTCTTTAGTTTGTTTGGTCAGGGTGGGAATTTCTATGTGTATGATCTAGATATTGTGGATCTACAGTGGGAAAAAAAAGTATTTAGTCAGCCACCAATTGTGCAAGTTCTCCCACTTAAAAAGATGAGAGAGGCCTGTAATTTTCATCATAGGTACACGTCAACTATGACAGACAAATTGAGAATTTTTTTTCCAGAAAATCACATTGTAGGATTTGTAATGAATTTATTTGCAAATTATGGTGGAAAATAAGTATTTGGTCACCAACAAACAAGCAAGATTTCTGGCTCTCACAGACCTGTAACTTCTTCTTTAAGGAGGCTCCTCTGTCCTCCACTCATTACCTGTATTAATGGCACCTGTTTGAACTTGTTATCAGTATAAAAGACACCTGTCCACAACCTCTAACAGTCACACTCCAAACTCCACTATGGCCAAGACCAAAGAGCTGTCAAAGGACACCAGAAACAAAATTGTAGACCTGCACCAGGCTGGGAAGACTGAATCTGCAATAGGTAAGCAGCTTGGTTTGAAGAAATCAACTGTGGGAGCAATTATTAGGAAATGGAAGACATACAAGACCACTGATAATCTCCCTCGATCTGGGGCTCCACGCAAGATCTCACCCTGTGGGGTCAAAATGATCACAAGAATGGTGAGCAAAAATCCCAGAACCACACGGGGGGACCTAGTGAATGACCTGCAGAGAGCTGGGACCAAAGTAACAAAGCCTACCATCAGTAACACACTACGCCGCCAGGGACTCAAATCCTGCAGTGCCAGACGTGTCCCCCTGCTTAAGCCAGTACATGTCCAGGCCCGTCTGAAGTTTGCTAGAGTGCATTTGGATGATCCAGAAGAGGATTGGGAGAATGTCATATGGTCAGATGAAACCAAAATAGAACTTTTTGGTAAAAACTCAACTCGTCGTGTTTGGAGGACAAAGAATGCTGAGTTGCATCCAAAGAACACCATACCTACTGTGAAGCATACCTACAGCGACAGCCCCAAAACATCACTGCTCTAGAGGAGATCTGCATGGAGGAATGGGCCAAAATACCAGCAACAGTGTGTGAAAACCTTGTGAAGAGTTACAGAAAACGTTTGACCTGTGTCATTGCCAACAAAGGGTATATAACAAAGTATTGAGAAACTTTTGTTATTGACCAAATACTTTTTTTCCACCATAATTTGCAAATAAATTCATAAAAAATCCTACAATGTGATTTTCAGGATTTTTTTTTCTCATTTTGTCTGTCATAGTTGACGTGTACCTATGATGAAAATGACAGGCCTCTCTCATCTTTTTAAGTGGGAGAACTTGCACAATTGGTGGCTGACTAAATACTTTTTTCCCCCACTGTATGTTGGCCGGGTGTGGTTCCCAATCAGAGGCAGCTGTCGATCGTTGTCTCTGATTGGGGATCATACTTAGGCAGCCATGTTGCCTACCTATGTTGTGGGATCTTGTTTCTGTGTGTTTGGCTTGTTTGATGTTAGCCTTTAGAACTTCACGTTACGTTGTTTTGTTTGGTGTTTATTTAATAAATGAACATGTACGCATACCACGCTGCACCTGGGTCCAATCCTGTATTCAACGAACGTGACACCCGGGTTCCGGGGAGGGTTGCCACTCTTGAACGCTGGAGTTTCTAAATCTTGCTGATGCTAGGTTAGTCTTCAGCCCTGCCACTGCATTAAATCAGGGCATAGTTCCGACTGCCTTAATGATATGATTCTGAGTTTTTTACCTCTGACCTAGATGGCATCAAATGGAACGGATTCTGTCCTCTCAACCGTAACTATGTATTTATCTGTGAGCAGTTAGCCCCCGACAGTGCGAGCCCGTTTGATTGTCACCTCTGAGCCAACTGTCCATAACCTTCAAGTCCATCGGCCCCCTCTGTTCCTTTGATTGCGTGCCTCTGTAACTCCCGCTGTGCTCAGTGGGCTCAGTGCCCTCTGAAAGTGCAATTCACTGTATTGGTAATTTAGCACAAATCTAAATGGGGGAGCTATGATGTGAAGTTTAGTGGTTCATTCAATGTGAAATCCTGAACTCGTTTTATTTTTGGCTCCATGGAAAGTTCAGGCTTAATAATTCACCTTCTCTCCTCTTTTTCTCTGTCGTTCTATCTCATAAAGTGTCTGGCGGCCGTAGTCGTCTGCACTTGCTGGATCTGGGCAGCTGTGAGACGGACATAAGTCGGACCCGAGAAGGAGGTGGAGGTCAGTGTCTGTCACTTTCTGCTCTGGGAAACATCATCCTCGCCCTGGCCAATGGGGCCAAGCACGTTCCCTACAGGTATGTCCGAAAGGAGGGACAAACACTAGTGAATGATGAGGTTCTTTCACAATGTATGTGTATTATGTCCTCTTTGTGTCTATATTTTGAGTTTGTGTTTTGTCTGGTTCTGTGTGTTTGTTTATGTTGTAAGTTAGTTTTGTCTGGCTCTGTGTTGTGGCCTTTTTATCTCTCTCTTTTATTCTTCCCACCTCAGGGGTAACAATCAATGAAGCCCTATTAGCCTATTTGGATGAGAGAAGTTGAGGGAAGAAGCGAAGCACCAACGTGAGAAGTTATTGATAGTGTAATGGTTCACGGAAAGGCTGTATTCCAGCTTCAATGAGGGTAGGGGGGTGGGGGGTTGGATTGTAATATAGAAGATTGGGGGCTCTATTTTAACAAACCTAACGCAATTATAAATCTAAGCGGTAGCGCTATAGGTTCGGGGGTGTGTCAGATATATTTTTGCTATTTTCACCACCACAATTATAGGCGCAGTTGCTGGCAGTGGCACGAAAGGGCTGGGTTTTGATGAATAAACCAGTTGTGGGTGTGTCAAGGCTTGGCCCCTCACTGGCTAATCAGAACATGATCCATGGCTAAATATGTGGTTTCTTCAAGTTGTGTATTTACGATCTTTTATGTATTGCGTGGTCATCAACTCCAATTCCAGTGTTAGTCCGTTATAGCTTAGTTCGTTAAATAGCCTGCCCCACATTTGCAAAATATGTTGAACATGTTTGCAGTCCACATTGTTCTAATTGCATTGCTTCAGTTTGGAAATACATTGTTAAACATAGGCTATAGAATGTGCACTGATATAGGGGCTAGGACTACTGTAAATTGTAATCTGGGCATGGACATGCCAAATGTAATCAATAAGCAAGATTAAATTCACAATGTATAGCCTAATTCTAATACAATTGTTTTAAATAGGCGGTCTAAATACAGTTACAGGCACCATAATTACTCCCCGTGGATGTAAAATACAGACAAGGCAACAGACTATGGAGGGTTTTACGCATTTCCAAACTTTTCACAGGAGCTAGATAAAGATCCAATGTAATGTAAAGAGAAAGGGGGGATGTCCACTCACCATTATACAGCTCGCAAATGTTATGTTTTATAAACATCATGGAACCATCTTACAGATCATATTTGTACTTCTCAAGAAATAGCAGACGAAATTGCATTGCCTTCGAGCCATCTAGCCTACGTTATAACCATAAACGCATTGATGGTGAATATTACTAAGTTTGGTTTTTGATTGATTTTAATTTAATTTGATTAATCTGCTTTTTAAACTAACAACAATATTTTAAAATAGGATGGGGTCAGAAGCATGATATCATAAATCACTTCTCTCGTTCCATGGCACTGTGTGCATACAGGTCTAAATGTCTTTACGCATAACATTTGCACATCTATACAAACTACTAGGCTCCTGTCAATTGCATCGTTGCCTATGTGCGAGGCAGATTCTCAAAAAAATCCACCGTTGATATGGTATTATAGGAGGTTTGAAAAGTTTGGAGGAGCGCGTGTCTTTGGTAATCGGATGAGGGGCGCTCTTGGATGGATACCCTACTTGAACAAGTGAAATTAAGTAATGCAAGTATGTGAATTGTGAATAATTAAAAAGCATGAGGGCAACAACCTCAAAGCACTTTCAGTAGACCATTTAAAACCCCTTTATTCATATGCTAGTTGGCTAATTGGCAGGATAAAAATACGCACCTATGCAATGCTGCTAAACAGCCTTGATTAAGGGGAGGGTAGGCTATGCTTGGTTCTTAATTAAACGAAATGGGGGGGAAAACAATAGTTCTTTATGTTTCTAAATACTAGATTCACCAGCACAAAATGCACATCTCTCTTCCATGGTCACTGTTCGTCGTAGCTGGATAGGCTGCGCTTCCGTTTTCAAAATCCATGCCATTATCAGATGAGTTACCGTTAAGACCAGCTTTTTGCGAGTCTTAAAACGTCTCATTAACGCTGCTTGAAATTGTCACGCTTGCGCATGTTTTTAAGGACACACCTCATATGTCCACCCCTCCCACCTCAGCACAAGTGAGCTGATGTTAGACAGGTAAATTGCCGACCCTGGCGTTAGGGATGGAAAATGCCAGTGCGCCAGTTTTTACATGACGAAATTGCAAACTAATGTGCGTTTGACACTTACGCCTCCGAAAATAGAGCCCTGCCTCTGGATCAGACAAGATCAGCTTTATTTATACACAGTATATCAAATAAAATAGCATTTTATGCAGTAGGGTGAGCTTAATATTTGTTATATTTCAAACAAACTTTCAAGGACCTTTCACACATCGACCTACTTACAGGTAATTGAAAGTGGTAGTTGAAGGTGAGGTTCCATTAATTGGATATCTCGTTCCCGCTGCCTTTTGACTGTCTATGGCTTTTCCTTTGGTACTGTAAGGAATGGTTGCTCTGAACCTGGGGTGGGGGTTATGGCTAAGATCTGGTGCTGGTTCTTTTTTGAGGGGCTAACGATTTTATTTTTGACGTATTATTCAGGGATAGTAAGCTCACCATGTTGCTGAGAGAATCTCTGGGCAACATCAACTGCCGAACCACCATGATAGCACACATCTCTGACTCACCAACCAATTACATGGAGACGCTAACCACCGTGCAGCTGGCCTCGCGTATCCACCACATGAGGAAGAAGAAATCCAAGGTACAGTAGTTACATTTCACAAGCTATTTCAAGGCTTTTATATGAATTTACGTATGTGAGAGTGAGGGCGTTTGAGACAAGAATGTGAGTATTGGATCTTGCTTACGTTAAGATATGGATGAGTAAGTTCATACAGTATTACATTCTTTGCATGGTCTTCATAGATTCAGACTTTGTTCCTCAAGCGTCCTTTGATATCGCTCAATTAGAGTGTTTTAATTGTTTGAATGATTTCCCAGGGGTAATAATGGCTCTGCCATGGAAATAATTAAATCTATAAAGTGAATCTGTATTTCTTCAGAAGGAGGGACTGTTACAGCAATAATTTAGAGAGTTTTTCTCAGTGCCTTATGCCATGTAATCAATACCTCTGCTCCTAAGGGAGAATCCAATGTATGCCCTGAGATTTGGAAAGCATACTTTCAATTTAATTAGGCAGATTGACAACATGTATTTATATTTTATAGATCAGAACATGACATTGACATAGATTTTTATGTAGCCTTCGGTTTGCACTTATAACCTTTTCATGGTATTGATGTGTGGTTTAGTCTAGAAATTAATCACAGTTCGTAATTCAGCTATTGAATCCCAACCTAATTTCAATGCGTGTTCTCTCTCCTGCTTACAGTATACATTCAGCTCCTCTGGTGGCGAGAGTTCCTGCGAGGAAGGACGAATCAACAAGCCACACTTGAGGCCCGGAGAACCAAGAACCATGGCCCTTGACCCGGATACGCCCACATTGCTGTCCAGTGACCCGGACTACTCATCCAGCAGTGAGCACTCCTGCGACACGGTCATTTACGTCGGGCCTGGTGGGGCCGCTATTTTTGACAGAGAGCTCAGTGACAACGAAGGCCCACCTTCCTTTGTTCCCATTATTCCCTCACTAAACAGGAAGTGCTGCAAAGACACCCAACAGCCAGAGGTGGAATACTTCAAGTGCAACACATTTGCGGAGCTCCAAGAGAGACTGGAGTACATTGATGGCAGCGAGGGCCCAGCTGCCTTCACTGGGGAGGGCAAGGGGGCACTAATAGCCCCAAGGACTCAAAGTGGGCCTACCAAAAGCCCAGAGGAGGCTGTATCCCCTAAGACTGATAAATCCCCCTCCCCAAAGCCCCTTATTAGCACAACAACCACCCACACAGCTGCCGGTAAATCTGAGCAGGGACATTCCACATTTTCCTCGGATGTGGGGGTCCCAGAGAGTCAACAACGGACAAGTGCAGATGGGGAGAAGGTTCTTGCCTGTGTGGTTAAGCCCAGCACGGTTTTGTCTCAAGATTCAGAGTCTATGGTGCAAGAGAAGGTCTACCTCAACAAAGGACCTACTATACCTAAGCCCTATGCCTCTCCCTCTTTGCCAAGATCCTCCGGAACACCCTCTCAGAGCCCGGATGCCATCTGCCGGACATCCCTTGTTGGCATGAGTCAGCAGGCCGTAAGGCAAGGGCAACCCGGGGGGGCCCCGGTCCTGGAGAGGGCCCATCATGGCAGGAGTCCCATGGGGGTGAGCGATCTTCGGGCAGCCTTGAGGGGCAGATGCCTGGAGAGGGATGTACTGAGGACCACGGTCACCCTGCATCAGCCTGTTGAGCTGAATTGGGAAGATGAGCTGGTGTTTACAGTGGTGGAGCACCTGCCCATAGGCCTGATCCCAGATAATGGGCGGCCCTCCAGCATCAGCAGCTTCAACAATGACTGCTCCCTTCAGGCCCTGGCCTCAGGCTCCAGTCCTGTCAGCATCATTAGCAGCATCAATGATGAGTTTGATGCTTACATGGCACAAGAGGGTGTATCTGGGGTGTGCTCTGAGGTGACCACAGCCTCACAGGAGGAGCTATTTGCCCATCATGGTAGCAGACAGTCTTCCATCGGCTCCTGGCAGAGAGAAGTGAGCGTGTGCTCACTGGACAGCGAAGGCACCCATTCGTCAGGTAGATTATTACAGAGAGATAAGTGCATGACCCCGGAGAACACCTCTATACTGTCCTCCCCTGTTATATTCCAGAGGAAGCCGTTCTTGCAGCATGGTGGCATGTGCTCCCTAAATGAGTTGGACAGTGACCCCGCCACCCCAAGCAAGCTCTGCCTAACTAAGTGCCCACCTTCTCCTGACTCTACCAAAGCATCTCTCAGAGGCTCTAAAGAGAAAGCCAACACACTGAACAACTCAGCATCTTCTCAGATCCCACACCATGCTGTTCACTCCAGTCTTCCCAGGAAAACCAAGCCTACCTCATTAGTTGCTCCAAGCTGCAGCAGGCAGGAAGGCAAGCAAGACGACCTCTGTTTGCGAGGAGGCAGCCATTCAGATCCTAGAGCACCTGAATCCACTGTGACGAGTAAGCCACCAAGAATAGGCATGAGTGGCATCTCTTCCAGGAAGCTGGGAGGAAACGGCAACAGTGTACCTCGACCACCAAAGGAACAGGTATCCTCCTCGACTCAGAGGGTGGTTGACGGTTGTGAGAAGTCCAGCAGCAAGAAAGGAGAGACCATGAGCAGGATGCCACATCTCAGGCGAGGTGCCACCACTCTTGGCACAGTCTTAGTCCCTCACAGTCCCTCTGAATCAAAATGGGGCCGCGATGGCACTTCAGAAACTAATAGTCTGAGATTCTCCTCTTTGGGAAAGAGGGCAAATGGACAGAAAAGCAGCATGCTTCCAAAGTCTTGCTCCGGCAGCATCTCTCCTCCTGCTCCACCTGTTCGCAAATCAAGCCTCGATCAAAAGACAAGGATAGTCTTATCTCCTAGTGCCTTAAGGGCAGCCAGCGATGCTGCAAGGTCCTCATTACCTAAAACATCAGTCTCTGAGGAGGAGTTTGATGTTCTATTGAGAAGGGATTTGTTTAGCTACAAAACATCCAGCTTGAAGGCTGACCATGGCTCAGCCAAGACCGTGTCAAGCCTGAGGACACGAGGAGCCAAAGGCGATTCTGGAAGGTACTATGGTAGCCTGATGTCCTTGGAGAGATGTGACATTATAACCTCAGTGGGGTCCAATCCTGGTCTGTCGAGAGAGAATAGTGGGTGTAGCTTAGGAGGCAATGGAAAATCCAATAGATCAGTGCCAAGACTTGGGGTCCCCACCTCCACACCCACTGCTACCTCTCCACCTTCCTCTATCACCTTTGCAATGACAAGCAAGTTGGGACAGCTCAAAGCTAATGTCAGCCCCAGGAACATTGTTTCCAGTGGATCAAAGGCTCGAATTTTGGCTGCCAGCAGTTCTAAGACCATTAGCTCCTCCACCAAATCCCTCGATGCTCCAACAGTACACAATGCCAGCCTACCTCCAACTGGGAAATCCGTAGCTCGGTCTGTGGCAGGGGCCAATGGCAATGGCAAGCCTGGCAGGGGCATTATCATGGGCACCAAGCAGGCCATCCGGGCTGCCAACAGCCGAGTTTGTGAGCTTGTGGCGGGAAGCCCAAGGAAACACCTAAGCAGGGGTTCAGAGGCTGTTGGGAACAACGATAGCGGGGAAAGCATCAGCGGGTCCCCTGCCAGCACGCCGCTACCCTCGCCCTATAGCAAGATCACAGCCCCGCGGAGGCCCCAGCGTTACAGCAGTGGGCACGGCAGTGACAACAGCAGTGTGCTCAGCGGGGAGCTGCCACCCGCAATGGGGCGCACTGCGCTCTTCTACCACAGTGGGGGCAGCAGCGGGTATGAGAGCATGATCCGGGACAGCGAGACCACAGGCAGCGCCTCGTCAGCCCACGACTCCATGAGCGAGAGCGAGGTGTCCACCTCCAATAGGAGTAGAGTGTCTAAATCACCCAAGAAGAGAGGCAATGGTGAGTATTAGTTACCCTGAGAAAGTTCTGGAACAATATCCATACAGCTATACCACATCAAACACAAATCATGATCCCATGAACGTACTTGTGAAATACTGAAATAAAAATTATTATCCAATTCAACAATAGGAGCTATACATATTCAAATACTTATAATTTGGACTATTTGTTTTTATTTGATATGTGATCAAATAAATTATACAGTGCATACAATATTTTCTCTAGCTTTCTCACTCTAGTAGATTATTTCTGTTCTATTGAAAAGTGTGGCTGGGTGACATCCCTGCTGCTCAAAACAACATTCCATGCACACTAAACGAGTAAAACTGCAAGTCTTCATACACTGTATTTTCATGTATGAATTTGCCTTGCACATGGATATCTCAGATACTCTACATACCTATTTTTCATAGACCTATGAATATATTTAAATGTACAGTATGTCCTCCACCTAGCATGATCATAAATCTCTATTCAAGTGTAGTATCTGAAGTGACAGTGTGTCCCGCTGCAGTATACACTCATAAAATTAATTCAGATTCATGTACCTATCCTCCGTAATTCATAACAGCAACAGATAGGATCTAGTGCCTAATGCATACGTAATCAGTGCTAGCCGACGGTTATGTGATCCCGGCTGGCTCGATGGAAGTCTGCTATCAGCCTGTGTATCTTGGCACGTTTTTGCCTCATGCATATTTCAAGGCAGTGCCTCACATGCTAGGATATTCCTGGTGTGCATATCCAACTCCAATTAACAGCCGTACCCCCAATGACTCACTCCCTTCACCCCCTTGTTCCAGGGCTCCTGCGGCGCCGTCTCATCCCTGCTCCCCTGCCGGACACCACCTCCTTAGGCAGGAATGCTGGCATCCCGGGACAATGGGTGGACCTGCCCCCCTTGGGTGGGACCTTGAAGGAGCCCTTCGAGATCAAGGTGTATGAGATCGACGACGTGGAGCGGCTGCCGAGGAGACAAGAGGGTGCCACGGGGACAGAGGTTAGAGATGCGCCATCTGCTCGCTTCTTGGAATGTGAAAATGGTGTGTGTGAGTGCGTGTGTACGCATGTACAGTGCCTTCAGAAAGTATTCACACATTGACTTTATCCACATTTTGTTTTGTTACAGCCTGAATTTAAAATGGATTAAATTTAGATGTGTCACTGGCCTACACACACACACAATACCCATAATGTAAAAGTGGAATAATGTTTTTAGAAATGTTTACAAATTTATAAAAAATTAAGAGTCTTAAGTATTCAACCCCTTGTTATGGCAAGCCTAAATAAGTTCAAGAGTAAAAATGTGCATAGACTTACTCTGTGTCCAATAATAGTGTTTAACATGATTTTTGAATGACTACCTCATCTCTACCCCACACATCAAATTATCTGTAAGGTCCTTCAGTCGAGCAGTGAATTTCAAACACAGATTCAACCACAAAGGCCAGGGAGGTTTTCCAGTGCCTTGCAAAGAAGGGCACCAATTGGTAGATGGTTAAAACATTTAAAAGCATGGTGAAGTTATTCATTACACTTTGGATGTATCAATACACCCAGTCACTAGAAAGATACAGGTGTCCTTCCTAACTCATTTGCCAAAGAGGAAGGAACCTGCTCAGGGATTTCACCATGAGGCCAATGGTGACTTTCAAACATTTATAGAGTTTAATAGCTGTGATAGGAGAAACATGAGGCTGGATCAACAACATTGTAGTTAGCCCACAATACTAACCTAATTGACAGAGTGAAAAGAAGGAAACCTCTACAGAATACAAAAATTCCAAAACATGCATCCTGTTTGCAACAAGGCACTAAAGTAGTACTGTAAAAACAAATCCTGAATACGAAGTGTTATGTTTGGGGCAAATCCAATACAACACATTACTGAGTACCACTCTCAATATTTTCAAGCATAGTGGTGGCTGCATCATGTTATGGGTATGCTTGTAATCGTTAAGGACTGGGGAGTTTTTCATGATAAAACATTTACAGAATGGAGCTAAGCACAGGCAAAATCCTAGAGGAAAACCTGGTTCAGTCTGCTTTCCACCAGACACTGGGAGATGAATTCACCTTTCAGCAGGACAATAACCTAAAACACAAGGCCAAATATACACTGGAGTTGCTTACCAAGACGACATTGAATGTTCCTGAGTGGCCTAGTTACAATTTTGACTTAAATTGGCTTGAAAATCTATGGCAAGACTTAAATGCCTGTTTGGCAATGTTCAACAACCCACTTGACAGAGCTTGAAGAATTTTGAAAAGAATAATGGGCAAATATTGTACAATTCAGGTGTGCAAAGCTCTTATAGACTTACCCAGAAAGACTCATAGCTGTAATCGCTACCAAAGGTGATTCTAACGTATTGACTTGGGTGTGAATACTTATGTAAAATAGATATTTCTGTATTTTTTCATATTCAATAAATTTGCAAAAATGTTGCACTTTGTCATTATGGGGTATTGTGTGTAGACTGTAACAATATAATTCAGACTGTAGCACATCAAAATGTGGAATAAGTCAAGAGGTATGAATACTTTTTGAAGGCACTGTATGCATGACTGTGTGCCTGTACATACAAATTAGCCAGACCGTAAGCTCCGGAATATTTTGATTTATTTATGTGGGAATGTTTTATTTGTTTGATTTCCTCTACTTTTTGCATGTTGTGTATATTTGGTCAGGTGCCACACCTGTTCACCTTTTGACCTCACCAAGGATAAAACTTCAAAGAAATCCCCTCCAGACATTTTCTCCTTTACGCAGTAAATAACATTGAGACTGTCATTACATTTACATTTTAGTCATTTAGCAGACGCTCTTATCCAGAGCGACTTACAGTTAGTGAGTGCATACATTTTCATACTGGCCCCCCTGTGGGAAACGAACCCACAACCCTGGCGTTGCAAGGGCCGTGCTCTACCAACTGAGCTACACGGGACTCAGTTGGCTGTATAACAATCATGCTTCCCCTTTTACAGTGGGCTAATATTGAGGAGGACAGTCCAGTGCATCATCCTCAACTGAACATGCCCCCAAATTATTAAGTGAGGGTGCCTAAACTGTCTCAAACCCTCAATCTATCCACCTAAACGGGGTGTGCCTGGGAGGGGGCTGCACTGAGACTCTCAGACTTCCTCACATTTAGTTTGTCAGTAGCCGAGGTTATCGCTGGAACAAATACCGCTGCTGCTTAATTGGTTAAGATTTGACTGATGGTTGGAGCCAGGTAACCATGGCAGTCAGGGGAAGCCCAACAAAGAAGAGGGGAGACAAGGGTTGGAGGAGCCAGTGATGAATGAAGGTTGGGCCTGCTATCTTGGCCCTCGCCTGAATGCTCTTTATGGGCTTCTCCACTCTCCATGTCAACGGGTCATTAACCATTCCCACGAGCCGAGCCCAATCCCCCATTGAATAGTGGAGGGGATAAAATACATTAATTCTGCTTGATGGTGCTTTGATTTATTTTCAATTAGGAAAATATGATCTTCAATTCGTTTTTGAGAGCCTGTCGTCCAGAGCATCCAAAAGTGAAGTGTTTTGAGTGTGTGTGTGTGTGTGATTAATTGCGTTTGCAAGTGCATCCATTTAGATTGTGTATTATCTTTGGATTAGCAAATGTTGATGTCTTTTTTTTTCTGTTCTCTCTCGCTCATCTCCTAGCAGCTATTCCAGGATGTGGAAAGGGTATGTTGATTCAACTCGATGGATGTGCTTGAATATTATATCACATGCTAAATAAAAAATGCATGGACCATGGAATTAATGCATTCTGTTATGCCTTGTGAAATAGACAAATTAAATTATAACGCACGCGTCCGAAAACACATTTTGTACAAAGCCAATAATACAAAAGCAATTCACCTTCCTTGTAGTGATAAAAACAGTTCCGAACTAGGAATAATCTGTATTGTTATTCTACCTTTCAATAACATATTACTGGTGGACTGCGTCTACACTTAATCCAGGAGCCCAACATTTGTCCTAGAGATTCAAGCAAAGCGGGAGATTAGCGTGGATGCTAATTTTATTTCTGCGGTATAACCTCCCTGTCCCGTGTGTGAGCCTCTTCACAGCGCACACACAACTCTAAAGATGCCCCTCCGTCTGGTACTCTCTCTCGCTCTGTTTACCTCACTAAATCCAAGCCTGGGTTTCTCTAAAAGGAGCACACTCAGCTCATTTCCTCCACTCGTCTTTTCTCTCTGCACTCACTCCAACCATCCTTACCATTTGCTCTACCAGGGCCTGCTGTACTTCAACGTCAGGCTGAGGATGCTAGAGAAGAGGCAGCAGCAGATCAGGGTGCTGAGGGCCAAGCACGAGAGCCTGAGGGGGGAACTGGAGGATGCCAAGAGCAGGCTGATGCTGGACCCCGGGAAGTGGACCGGAGAGTGTGAGTAGCCTACTGTAGAAATCTGGCATGCTGTTTTTAAAGTGTGCAGAAAGTGTACCTCCTTGTTTTGTAACTGGGTTGTGTTAGATTGACTTTTGTGTAACTATCAGAGCTGCAGTCAGGTATTATATTTTACATTTTAGTCATTTAGCAGACGCTCTTATCCAGAGCGACTTACAGTTAGTGAGTGCATACATTTTCATACTGCCCCCCCCCGTGGGAAACGAACCCACAACCCTGGCGTTGCAAGCGCCATGCTCTACCAACTGAGCTACAGGGGACTATGGTTTAAGATGGGTCTGTTGTTAGCTCATGTCTTACAAATTACTTTCCTACATTTAGCCTCTCTGAGGCTATTGTAAGTGGACAACAAAGTTTTGTAACTAGCTAGCGATTCAGCTACAGCAGCACAGCGTTCCCTGGCCTCTGTTAAGTTAGCCACAACAAAAGACCCATCTTAAACCATACAGTAAACAAACCTTTCCTACACTGTAGGAACAGTTGATATCCTAAGCACCTTTTTACAGTGCCTTGCAAAAGTATTCATCCCCCTTGGCGTTTTCCCTATTTTGTTGCATTACAACCTGTAATTTAAATGGATTTTTATTTGGATTTCATGTAATGGACATACAAAATATTCAAAATTGGTGAAGTGAAATAAAAACAATAACTTGTAAAAAAAAATAATAATAACGGAAAAGTGGTGCGTGCATATGTATTCACCCCATTTGCTATGAAACCCCTAAATAAGATCTGGCGCAACCAATTACCTTCAGAAGTCACATAATGAGTTAAAGTCCACCTGTGTGCAATCTAAGTGTCACATGATCTGTCACATGATCTCAGTATATATACACACACCTGTTCTGAAAGGCCCCAGAGTCTGCAACACCACTAAGCAAGGGGCACCACCAAGCAAGCGGCAACATGAAGACCAAGGAGCTCTCCAAACAGGTCAGGGACAAAGTCATGGGGAATTACAGATCAGGGTTGGGTTATAAAAAAATATCTGAAACTTTGGACATCCCACGGAGCACCATTAAATCCATTATTAAATAATGGAAAGAATATGGCACCACAACAAACCTGCCAAGAGAGGAACGCCCACCAAAACTCACAGACCAGGCAAGGAGGGCATTAATCAGACAGGCAAAAAAGAGACCAAAGATAACCCTGAAGGAGCTGCAAAGCTCCACAGTGGAGATTGGAGTATCTGACCATAGGACCACTTTAAGTCGTACACTCCACAGAGCTGGGCTTTACGGAAGAGGCATGTCGGAGACTCCCCAAACATATGGAATAAGGTACTCTGGTCAGATGAGACTAAAATTGAGCAATCTGGCCATCAAGGAAAACGCTATGTCAGGAGCAAACCCAACACCTCTCATTACCCCGGGAACACCATCCCCACAGTGAAGCATGGTGGTGGCAGCATCATGCTGTGGGGATGTTTTTCATCGGCAAGCACTGGGAAACTGGTCAGAATTGAAGGAATGATGGATGGCGCTAAATGCAGGGAAATTCTTGAGGGAAACCTGTTTTCAGTCTTCCAGAAATTTGAGACTGGGATGGAGGTTCACCTTCCAGCAGGACAATGACCCTAAGCATACTGCTAAAGCAACACTTGAGTGGTTTAAGAGGAAACATTTAAAATGTCTTGGAATGGCCTAGTCAAAGCCCAGACCTCAATCCAATTGAGAATCTGTGGTATGACTTAAAGATTGCTGTACACCAGCGGTACCCATCCAACTTGAAGGAGCTGGAGCAGTTTTGCCTTGAAGAATGGACAAAAATCCCAGTGGCTAGATGTGCCAAGCTTATAGAGACATACCCCAAGAGACTTGCAGCTGTAATTGCTGTAAAAGGTGGCTCTACAAAGTATTGACTTTGGGGGGGGTGAATAGTTATGCAAGCTCAAGTTCTGTCTTATTTCTTGTTTGTTTCACAATAAAAAATATTTTGCATCTTCAAAGTGGTAGGCATGTTGTGTAAATCAAATAATACAACCCCCGCCAAAATACATTTTAATTCCAGGTTGTAAGGCACTGTATATATAATGGATAGAGCTCAGCTACAAAGGCATGGATCTTCTCTGGCGAACCTTTGGGCGACCTGCACATCAATTCAACATCTATTCCATTGAAATGATGTGAAAATAACGTTAAGTCAACCAGTGTGTGCCCAGTGGGTCCTTGTTCCGCCATTGTGTATTTGGGGTTGGAGACTGGATCCACTTGCTTGCCTTTTTGTGTGTGAGAAAGAAGTGCCAGAAGTGCCTCCCTAAAAGATTTTTCAACATTGACCCAGGCTAAAATTAGCAGTTACCACTTTAAAAAGTTTGCGAAACTTTAGAAAGGACCCCAAGAGAATAAAACCCAATTAAAAATACAAAGCTATGGGCCGACGCCGCTTCCTTTGTAAATTGTAGTGTTTATGAGCCACACTTTAATGGCCACACACATTTGCTTGACACCTGCACAATACATTGGTCTATGTTTCATGGAGTGGAATGGTACTGCCATAGGACAGAGCTCACATTGCAGTAAGTATGTCCATTACATTTTGTCTATGTCCATTACATGAAATCCAAATAAAATTCTATTTAAATTACAGGTTGTAATGCAACAAAATAGAAAAAACGCCAAGGGGATGAATCGTTTTGCAAGGCACTCTATTTCTGGAAGCTTCTCAACAAACCAAATGCCTCCAGGTCTGCAATCTAAAGAAAACAGTATTTGGGGAATATAATGATGAATAATGTGTTACGCCCGAGAAGATTACAAAAGTAAACAGCCAAAGTGAATCAGGAATCACATTTATGTAACTTTAACGTGCCTGTTTTCTGAAGTTCCATTTTCATTTCAGTAGAGGGAATGAGGAACCACAAAGAATCACACAAAGGTCGCTGAATTCAAAAGTAGCCCACCTCATGATTACCTTACTAGGGATATAGAGGAACAGAAAAAAGCTTTTTCAAATCCTTGTCTTTGCAAAAACCCTGTGTGTTCTCGCGTTTGCTTGGGGGTGGAATGTGTACCGGTGTACATCTTGAAATCAATAAGGCATTATTTTCCCTCCGCCACATCTCCCTATTTCCCTGAGATGTTTCCCATTGATTTAGGGACCACAGGTTGGTCCGAACCCATGATGGGAGCAGTCAGGCAATATAAATCATCCTTTCCTTTGTGATTATGAGGGTAGTGTGTTTTGAGCAGCCTTCATCAGACATCCAGGTATATCCAGCCCTGTCAAAGACATGTCGTCATCATCAATCTTCATGTCCCTGTATGACTTTTAAGGTTGTAAAGGTGTGACAACGGAGGAGCAGTCACAGTGGAGTCACACAGTTTCAGAGAGTGTAGAAGTACTGTATCACATAATCGGGGTCAATTCAAATTGCAGGCAGTCACTTTTCAGTTTATTGATAAGTCATTGAAAATAGATGTTTACTTCCTGAATTGACTGACATCGAATTGACCCCAATTCTGATGTAGAGTGCCTATTATTACCCCATAATAACAGTGCACTAAGACATGCTATAAGATTTTTACAAGCAGAAATGGAAATTCCATGTAATGATGTATGGTCATCTAAATGTCAAGAGTGGCTACATCTTTTATCTATGTTGTTTGACACTGTACATCTGCTGTACCTTTTCATGTGCAATCTTCATCGCTAATCTTCCTCCTTTCGCTCTCTTTCTCCCGCTCTCCTTTCCCCCATAGTTGAGGTGGACCAGGATCTGGACATGGAGTCCCAGGAGTACCTGGAGGCTTTGGAGCAGGCCACGGGCGAGCTAGAGTACTGTGTCAACCTATGCAAGTCACACGTCATGATGGAGACCTGCTTCGACATCGTGGTATCGGCGACCACCGTCGCGCAAGGGGAGCAACAGAAAGGAGGTGTGGTGGTGTGAGCAAGTGAGAGAAAGGGAGTGAAAGTAAATGTGAAAGGGCAACGGAGCAAAACAATCAGTTTTCCAAAACCAAACAAAGGTCTCTTATTTCAGAGCCTGCGAGACTGATAAGAGTCAAAGGAGGAAAGAACGCAGATGGGAAAGAGGACGAATGTGAAAGTCAACCGGTGTAGGTTACAGAGGTTAACATATGAAGAGGATGGTGTGTGCTACTTGTACCGTAGAGAGAGCCTGGCTTCGATCAGAGTACAATTAAAAGGAACTTTGGACAAACTTTCTCCATTTCCTGTGGGAGGAAGGATAGTTTGAACTGAGGATGACCGAACACCTTTGTCACTGTTACCAGGAAGTGCCTTGATCTGACTGATTCCAAGGGAATATCGTTTTTTTTCTGATCGGTGCTAGTCTTAAACAGCTTACCTGAGCAAACTCTAAATGTATTCTTTATGCGACATTTTTTATTTTGTAATGTTGTATAGTGTATTTATATGATTACAAAATATGTAAACAAACCATAAATAAAATGAAAGAAAAGCAAGTTCATTATTATTGCATACCCAAACCTTTGCCTTTCTTTGTGTTCAAAATGTTTTACAGCCTTCTATCTCAGTAGTGAGAAGTTATTTTGGCCACTGAGTTACCTTTGGGCTAGAACAAACCTTACGCAAATCTTTATGTCCGTTCTCAATGTCTGCAATAGAAGAAGGTTGTCAGGAATGATTTGGGCTCAGAACTGATTTGGGGTTATAAACTCAGTTGCAGTCAATTGTGCAGAAACATTTACAATCCATACAGACGAATGGCACGGTCTCTTATATACTGAACAAAAATATGAACGCAACATGCAACAATTTCAAAGATTTTACTGAGTTATAGTTCATATGAGGTAATCAGTTGATTGAAATAAATTCATTAGGCCCTAATCTATGGATTTCACATGACTGGGAATACAGATCTGCATCTGTTGGTCACAGATACCTTAAATAATTTAAGTAGGGGTGTGGATTAGAAAACCAGTCAGTATGTGGTGTGACCACCATTTGCCTAATGCAGCGTGACACATTTCCTTCACATAGTTAGTTGATCAGGCCTCCCGAGTGGCACAGCGGTCTAAGGCACTGCAACACAGTGCTTGAAGTGTCAATACAGACCCGGGTTCGATCCCAGGCTGTGGCACAGCCGGACGTGACCGTGAGACCCATGAGGTGGCTCACAATTGGCCCAGCGTCGTCCGGGTTAGGGGAGGGTTTATTTTCCTTGTCCCATCGCGCTCTTGCGACACCTTGTGGTGGGCCGGGCGCCTGCAAGTTGACATTGGTTGCCAGCTGGACGGTTTTTCCTCCGACACATTGGTGCGGCTGGCTTCCAGGTTAAGCGAGCAGTGTGTCAAGAAGCAGTGCAGCTTGGCAGGGTCGTGTTTCGGAGGACGCATGGCTCTTGACCGTCGCCTTTCCCGAGTCTGTAGGGGAGTTGTAGCGATGGGACAAGACTGTAACTACCAATTGGGGTAAAAGAAAATCAAAATGAAGATAAAAAATATAAAAAAAGTTAATTGATCAGGCTGATTGTGGCCTGTAGAATGTTGTCCCACTCCTCTTCAATGGCTGTGCGATGTTGCTGGATATTGGCGGGAACTGGAATATGCTGTCGAACCAGAGCATCCCAAACATGCTCAATGGATGACATGTCTGGTGAGTATGCAGGCCATTGAAGAAATGGGACATTTTCAGCTCCATGAATTATGTACAGATCCTTGTGACATGGGGGCGTGCATTATCATGCTGAAACATGAGGTGACGGCAGTGGATGAATGACACGACAATGGGCCTCAGGATCTTGTCACGGTATCTCTGTGCATTCAAATTGCCATCAATAGAATGCAATTGTGTTCGTTGTCCATAGCTTATGCCTTCCCAAACTATAACCCCACAGCTACCATGGGGCACTATGTTCACAACGTTGACATCATAAAATCATTCGCCCACACAACGTCATACAACGTCTGCCATCTGCCCAGTATAGTTGAAACTGGGATTTATCCGTGAAGAGCACACTTCGCCATCGAAGGTGAGCATTTGCCCACCGAACTGCAGTCAGGTCAAGACCCTGGTGAGGACAACGAGCACGCAGATGAGCTTCCTTGAGACGGCTTCTGACAGTTTGTGCAGAAATTATTCGGTTGTGCAAACCCACAGTTTCAGCAGCTGTCCGGGGGGCTGGTTTCAGATGATCCCGCAGGTAAAGAAGCCGGATGTGAAGGTCCTTGGCTGGTATAGTGACACGTGGTCTGCGGTTGTGAGGAAGGTTGCACGTACTGCCAAATTGTCTAAAATGACGTTGGAAGTGGCTTATGGTAGAGACATTTATATTACATTCTCTAGCAACAGCTCTGGTGGACATTCCTGCAGTCAGCATGCCAATTGCACGCTACCTCAAAACTAAACAAATCTGTGGCATTGTGAGTGGCCTTTTATTGTCCAGAGGAGGAAAAGCAGCCCCAGATCTTGATGTTTCCACCACCATGCTTGACTGTTGGGATAAGGTTATTTTGTTGGTAGGCAGTGTTAAGTTTTTGTCAAAAATAGTGGTGTTGATTGTGACCAAAAACGTCAATTTTGGACTCATCGGTCCAGAGAATGGACTTCCAGAAACAGTCAGGTTTGTCCAGGTGGTCTCTGGCAAAGTTAAGATGGGCAGTTTGGTTCTTTTTTGACAGCAGAGGCTTCTTCCTAGCAACCCTCCCCATGAATGGCATTTCAATTCAGTGTTCTTCTTATTGTTGAAGCATGCACAGTTACCTGAGATGCAGCAAGGGAGGTCTGCAAAATCTCTAGATGTTATGTTTGGGTTGGCTTTTACCTGATTTATTATTGTTCTTGGGGATATTTTGGAAGAGCATCCACTTCTAGGCCGAGTCGCTGTCATGTTAAATGCTCTCCATTTGTAAATTATTTGCCTCAGTGGACTGATGGAGCTCAAATCTTTCTGAGATGATTTTATAGCCTTCCCAAGACTGATGTGCTCTCACTACCCTCGTCCTGATGTCCTCTGAGATCTCCTTTCCGCTCAGTATGGTGTGCTTTGCATTTACCTAGATGGGTAACACAACTGACCAGGTTTCTTATCTCTATTTATCAGAGTCCCGCCCAAACTCTTTCCTAATGATCTCTCCTTTGATTGGTTCATTTGGTAGCTAATTATTTACCCACCTGATTCTACTTAGCGACTTGATTTAACCAATGCAACTTGGGGTTGACTTATTTTTGCACCTGCACTAATTCCTTTTTCATTTTGTGTTTTTTACTACACGCATGGTTTCCTCTACACCAACATATGTATTGGTGAATATAAACCTGTTATGTCAGATCAAAAAGACTGGTTCTGATTAAATGAAGATTTCATGGTAAAAACTGTAATCTGTAATTGCACAAGGGGTTTGCATACTTTCAAGCAGCACTGTAGATGTTGCACTGTGTCCCGTGGCTCTCCTGTGCTTTTTGTCCTAAATGCTGAATGTTTATCTTAAATGCTTAGTTGGTTCTCATCTCTGAGAACTTCTCTCTAGAGTCGTATCAACGGACAATGTGTTATCTGTGGGCTAGCTAAGGCATCAATGCATTGAATTTACCTTTGGCCTGTCAAGGAGTCAAACATTTACCTCTCTATTGCAGTTATGTTGAAGTGTTTTATTTTGCTTGCAACCAAAAGAGGTTGAAACCATTTAAATGACATTTTACTTGTCTTTTGTCCTACTATGGAGGAATTCTCAGGCCCTTTTTTGAAGTTGCTGCATGAGATCTTTGTTATAATTTTTGTAACATGCCTTAGTGTTCTTTTATAAGGTGGACTGTGGTTTTTACTTAGGACGTGTTGACCTGGTAATGTAAGATCTTGTGTAATGCAAGACCCTTTTCCCTATTGTCTTTGGTTTTATACTGTACAGTTTTCTAATCATTTGTAAAATGGAAAAAGGAAGGAAATGTACAGTATTGCAGTTTGCATTGACTCAAACATGTCAATAAAGGATTTGAATCCTCTTGTTTATATTAAACTGTTGAAATTATTGACTTATCACTTCTGATACAGCAGAAACATTGAGCGAACCTTGAGGTTTCCATTATATGCAATTGATTGAATTCAGGCCTATAAGAGTACAATTTCTATTTTGGGTCACATCCATATCATGGATCCTATCTACACCAAAAAACATTATCTGTCTGACAGCATTTCAGACATTTTAAATTATCTCGCTGATTAGTTTGTCCAAGCACCTGGAAGTGTTTACATATGGGACCAGTAGAAGCACCACTGTTTGGATAATTAGTCAGACAGGCCACAGTCTGTCTGCTAATTGCTAAAATGCACAGCCTACTGTATGATATGGCTCTCCAACCCTGTTCCTGGAGAGCTACAGTCCTGTAGGTTCTCACTCCAACCCTAATCTAGCACACCTGATTCTAATAATTAGCGGTTTGATAAACTGAACAGGGTTAGTTACAACTGGGGTTGGAGCGAAAACCTACGGGAGGGTAGCACTCCAGGAACAGGGTTGGAGACTCCTGCACTAGCTTCTAGGGCCCTGTTCAAATACTTTAGAAATGCATCCTTCTTTCCTTGAGGTACGCACCGATCTATAAGTGATTGTATAGGTGTAAGAAAGGTTACCACCCCATTACTTATATCAATCCAACCAATTCAGATCTGCGATTACTTCAAGGAGGGTAAGAAGGAAGTTTTCCAACAGGGCCTGTGATTTGCACTCAGAGAACCCATGGTATCAAAAAGCTAATACTACAAATTCCTTGTTTCTTCTCTCATAAGCTAGCATTGCCATTCATCACGTCCAGAAACTCTCTGACTAATTTCTACTTGCTCAATACACCCGGAAAGTTAGATTCACTAAGACACTAACAGTTCAGTTAAGATTCACAGTCTTAAATGGACTGTCCAACGGAATAACAACTAACAATATACAGTAATTGTTGCAATGTAATTTACCT